CTTGAGACCGTTCGGTGTAAGGTACTTGCATCAGGTTCCATTTCTCAGTCCTCCTAAATCATCATCAGTACGGTCATTCACAGCGAGACATCGTTGTAAACCATTGCTTTTATGATGACGGTAATAACAACACAAATAGACGACCGATGTGAGCATATGTTGCGAATATGCACGTCAATTCTTACGAGTATTTTGAAGGTTAGGTGAGCTGTAAATAGTGCACTTGGAAAGAGGGGGTTGTGTTACGTCTGTATGACAAAACGTCTTTTTGAAAAATCTCAGTAATGCCTCAAGAGAAACTGGTAATATGGAAAGCAGGTGGGGTGTACAAGCCAGTCCAAAGAATTTACTTCCAGGTTCAATATCCTGGGTGGAAGTAAGCAAGCAGTTGGAACTGCCAAATGTGTGTCCTTTTACTGTCAGCAGGCATTACCGTTGCGCAACATTCTAAGTAGAGTTGTTAATAAGATGATGGACCCCAAAATGATCTTGCACATGGAATAGTCTATTAAGATGAATTTCCAACTGAAGGGAAGGATAATACTGGATGAAATTTAGAGGAAACTGGTCATAGGCGAGTCGAAACTTACACAGAATTCAAAGACCTCTGTGGCATAAAAGGTTAATTTTTCCCGAAGCGCATGGTCGCATCTTATGTATAGTCCCCACTAAGTGCTAGGTGAGTTCCAATTGTTTTGACTCCTGGAAGAATTCCCCGATGGTCAACATTTCCAGTGGTGGCGAACGGAAGCTGACCGTCCAAACTATTCAATTAATTAACGAACTTTAATTTACTGAAGACTTTAATGTACTAGGATAAGTGTGTAACTATAGTAGGGGAAGATACTGAAAATTAAACGCTGTGGTCGCCTCACGAAAGCTGTAAAATTCTGTTCCTGCAAAGTTTAAGGTTGACGCCGTAACGGCGCTTCACTGCCGTGCGACCATTACCAGTCGTTTGTGGGCTGAGCATACCGCGAGGACGCCCACCCCTACGCAGATTCAAACCCGTGCCGCAAGATTGCGAGACAAACTCGTTATCTCTAGGCTACGGTTGACCTGAAAACCCTTCGGAAGAGGTAAAAATATGTCGCATCGCAAACGTCATCTACGGTTAGTGTCTCGTGGAATGGTGTGTACGAGTGAGGCCACGTGGAGCTGCACGTGATTTTGTAGGTGTTGCATGTATATAGTTTTAATAGTGCTCTCGCGCATCCAGGAACATAATGATGAACAGAACGTTGCGTGCTATATTTAAACTCTACTTAAGTTAACGTTCCGAATGGTCACGCGAAGTGGCCCACTGTACTCTTATGACAGGTGATCGATTATGACCTGTCGCAACAAGTTCATCGGGTGCACGTCTGTTAGGCAAGCAGTAAAGTGGAGTACTTCAAAAACCTGCCGCTCCTCTGCACTGCGAGGGGAAATCTATAATACTCAGTAATCCTACGTGATCCCGTGGGTAAGCTGCATGCCTCAGTGTACCTCAGTTGTCGAGAATAAGTGAAAGTGATCAGCTGCAGGCAAGATGCCGAGAGTTGGTCACGTAATTGTAACCAAACATTTCACATTCGACTGGCAGTATCGCTAAAAGTTACGATGAACCGCGGGTCATCTGAGTAGTAGCAGTATACTACGAAGGTCAGCTTCCCGTTAGAGAGGAAGGAATTTGCACCTTGTCGAGCACAGTTAGCGGTGCGACCAGGATATAGAATGTCTGAGGACATTCAGAATATGCTCTATCTGGTGCTCAACAAAATTGTAAAAACGTCGTGATCACATTTCACGTTACAGATCCGGATCCTGGAAAATATTAATATCGTCTAGCCGTCTTTCTGTGATGCAGTGTCATTGAGGCCTAAGTTTCCTCGCCTATGCCCCTCATTGTCGCAAAAAGACTGGACTTCAACGTGATGCGACGGCTTGCGTATCCCTTGGACCCACTGAGCTACAATGAGCGGCACAAGCGGGATCTAATCCTATCAGAGGAACTCAGTCGCTTGGACCTCCGAGTTGGGTAAGATCTTGACTACAAAACTGAGTGCTGTCGGTCTGTCTCGCCTTCCATTCCGGAGTCCACGTGACCCGCCGTCTTGTTACAGAACACAGCTCGCAGTGACGGGTGCGATGTCGTCTTCTAGTCAGATTGTCTATTTAAATTGTCTATGGTCCTGGGTTATGTGCGTAATAATAGTTTATTAGGACGTGGGGGGATTAAAGCCGCAAGGAGACTGACCCCTTGATGTTAATTTGTCGACGCATGATCATCAGCTGTTTGTGACCGTATGTTGATGTTTTACTAAGGCTTTCATGTTTTACACCTAGTTCTTATTCTTCCAACGTATTCTTCTTTATTCTGTAGGTCGTTCTTGCTGTACGGTAACGAAATGTCAGTCCAATTTACTGATGTACTGCTGTTGTCATTCTGTGAGCATCATCATGCACACAAGACGGCGCAAAGAGCCTCCAGATGTCAGAACACAGTGTATGTTTCTAGGACGTTCAAAGAGAAGATGACTGCACCCAGGCAATAGTGAACTTGATCAAAAGGGACCACAAGTCGGACTATGTAGCGAATGAACCACCACGGCGTGATTCCAGCACCAATCACATATAAAGCTTCAGAAGCCAGAGAAAAAGAGTTAGAGTCATGCCACAAGTGCGTGCTTCGCGTGGGGCTGGGCAGCTATGAATCATCATCGAAAGATAAACAACTCTTAGGGACAGCCACGGAGTATTTCCCGGTATAGGACCATTTCCCGTAGATATTGAGGACGCATGTAGTGCATCGGTTGGTGCTTCCCAAAGTAACGAATACTTTCACTCCACAGTTCCAGAAGCCCAAACAAATTAGCCAACTATTTGGCACCAGTCTATGTGGCCCTGTTGTGACGGAGCGCAGTCAAAGCGAGTTTTACTCGCGGTAAATATCGAGGCTTAGACGAACACTTGCAATTAATAGTGAAACCTGCAGCAGAATGTCCGTCAAAATGCGGGAAAATGATAGATGAGTGAAAAAATGTCTGACTACGCTGACACAGTAGCTGCACGCTTGTGCACTTTTCTTGCGTACTCAGAACATCAAAATCTTTGAATACTGTTACCATCTGAGACGAACCGAATAGTTTTCACACAAGCAATCTCTTAAATATCTGGCTAACGATATGCCTAAGCTATCTGTGGGCCCTGCTGCAAGGGGTTCGGGGAAGTATATTATGGTGTTGTCGTGGAATTCACGGTTTTCCGATGTCTTACTCCACAACGTGAATAGATGCTTGTTTGGCACCAAATCCGCATTCGAAGTACCGGCAGAAAACTTATTTGGATTAAGCATTGATATGATAAAAATATAATGTAGAGCAGACCAAAGCTTTGTAATTGCCTACAGGTGCATTCGTTTAGAAATGGTGTTAAGCGGTAAAAACTCGGTCATTATCCTTAATGCAGACCGTAGCTGTCAATCCCAGGACAATATAGTGAATACTGTAAATAGAGGGCGAGTAGATCGGACACATGCGCGGAATCACGTCACTGATTCCTGCGCGGTGGCAGCATATTACAGTCACAAAATATCGGTGTTTGAACCTTCTGGGTCTCGTCAGCAGTGCCCCTTCCAGCGGACCCCTGCCGGGTTCCGCCACCATGACTTCCGCATGTCAGTAGCTAGTGCCACTTCGACACGGGTGAATGTGAGTTGTCAGAGTAGCAACTGTGAGATACGGCAAATGAATATTCACCCGCCAAAGGTGTATGTAGCAGTTTTTGACTTGAAATGAACATTACCTCTTTGCATGTAAGTAGAATGTGCATTGCACGCACTCACTAAGGCTTTTCGCAAGGGACCGCAACTCTATAGGGGACTAGCATTTTACATAGAACATTTGCGACGTGCAAGGTAATTGGCACTGAATCACGCTACAAACGAGAATCCCAATCTGTATATAGTTGTAAACATCAATCATATCTGACAGAACACGGAGGCAGTTGTGCGGAATGTTGTGATCGTTCAAAAATGAACCAAGAGTTTCATAAGTTGGCTCAGATTGATCGAAATACAGTGGTTTTCAACCACACCTCCTATGCCGCGCTCTGCCCAATGGTTCAAAAGAGTTAAGAAGATATCGTCAGTACACCAGTGTTTAGTACCGATGTTTCGCTGTAGTGCAGCCGCTCTCCTGTCAAGGAGTTCAGACTAAGGTAGGAACGAGGACTCGAACTTGGGGTGCCCGGACCACGGGTCCTGCTACTCGCTTACTAAGGTGGCCATTCAATATGGCCAGTTACGGATAAGAAAATAAAAATTGAGTTCGAAATTCATTAGTCACTATATTGGAGAAATTTTAGGTCTGGTCTAACTAATACTGTTTCGGCTGCATATAACTAGTGGCCGAAGGGAACGGATAGTTGTTACCAAAGGAAAGTGGAAGTTAAATTCGCACAGTTAAAACAATATGAATTCTGAAAGGAATCTATGGTACTCACAAAGTGGTGAACGTTACAAGCTGACGCTGAGACTGCACTACACAGATATTTAGAATGCATTTAAGGACGAACATCTAATCACACGGATGGACGATCCTACTATGAATTGGTGCGAATAGTCTCGTACCTGGAATAGAAAGGTACAAACATTCTCCGTGACCAATTTGTGACGCACTATACCGTACCGACGTCTCGTTGTCGCGTTTAGTAGACTGCCCATATCTACGCAGATTCGAACCGGTGACCTTCGGTTTACAAGACAAACTTCTCATCTCTTCGTCCACTACTCCTAGCAATATGAACAATCGCCGACTGAATGATATTTAAAATGAAGATCGCTTGCGCATTTTGATGCAGTACAAGTGAAGCAACTGGGGACAGAGTCAAGGGCCATCAAAATGGTCCGAGGTAGAATCAGTGACGCGTTCTTCTCATCGTGAATAACGATCTTGAAACAACCAGGTATTGGTATTACACTCCAGACAGCGTCTTATGAGTTGAACCACAACAAAGTCGCATGGACTGTGCAACGTTGTATTTGATACAAAATAAATACAGATAATGACTGAAACTGTGATAAAAAGAATTCACGAACGTTTTAGAAATGCAGAGTGGTGGCATTCAATTCGGCGATGTCGTCCATAATCTGAACCGTGGAGAAGGAAGGAAAAACGATAAAGCGTGGGGACAAAAGAATGTTGTAGTCAGACAACAGGGGGGAAACGAACTCAATAAGATGTATCTTGGAGGGTAGTATATCAAGCTGCAGAAAAGCAACATTGGAAGAGAAGAATTCTAGAAAAATATGCGAAAAAGTCAGTCAAGTTTCCGATAGTACCATTTTGGGAACATAGAGGCAGGCATGAAGGAATGATTATATCAGATCGGTTTAGTCTGACAGACTACGAAAGTAATTGCCCAAACTGCTCGTAAAGCCCTCCAGGTCGTGAGGCTAAATGTTGCACGCGCTGGACAATTTATCTCTAATATGATAACGATTGAAGCGGTGACTAATAGATCCAAAAATGGTCGCCCTATTGAGCGACCATAGATCTTTCAGATAGCACACAAGGGTTTTAACTTGTTCGCATAATTCTCAAATAGCAGATATGATTGGCTGATGACTGGAAACCGACCAGTGGAGCGCTGTTCGCAGTTACCTTCTGATTAATCACACACTTCCTTAATGGATTATCTGTGTACGAAAAACGTATGAATTACAAATTACCTCAGGCCAACTAACACACATATCTGTCGGACAGCTCAGTTCTTCTAGCTCGGATAAAATTAGATGGGTCAAGGTTATTCGGAGAAAAGGTAGCGCTGAAATCCACTCAAACATATCTGATTGTTCGGAAAGTAACTTCATTTTTTGACGAAAAAGAAAACGATTATCTTATAGTGAATGAAATGTCATTAAGTTATGCATTATCCATTCTGATCCAATAGCTTTTGCAATCTTTCTGGTAGTAGCATGATTCCATGCTGAAAAAAAAATATTTGCTGGTAAAAAAAACTGATTCAGATGATTTTTGACCTCCTCCCATGAAGTAACGGTTTTGCCGACTAAACAGGTTTTTAGAGACGGAAACAAATAATAACCAGATCTGGAGAATATGATGGGTGTAGAAGTATATTCCATCCTAGCTGTAAAAGCTTTTGGCGAGTTATCAAACTTGTAGGAAGTCTCGCATTATCTTGGTGGAACACTACACCTTTTCTATTGATTAATTCTGGCCATTTCTGTTTAAGTGAATCATTCAATTTGTCCAGCTGATGACAGTACACTTCAGAATTGATCGTTGTGCTGTCTGATAGAAGCTCAAAAAACGATTCCTTTGAAATCGCACCAAACAGAAAGCACCACTTATTTTTGATGAATATCGGCTTCCGAAGTGCTTTGGAGCTGGTTCATCTTGTTTACTCCATGATCTCTTGCGTTTAGCATTGTTGGAGACAACCCATTTCTCGTCCGCAGTGAGGAAAGGCTTCAAAAATGGTACTGAGGAGACAATACGAAATGCATGCAGCTACCAGTTTTCGTCTTCTTACCGTGCTTTTCAAATTTCTGAAGGGAACTGACTGCTTTAAATTTCTCAAACGACGAATTCCCGCTGAAACTATCAAATTGCTTCATCGTATAGTCAGCCTGAGGGGCAAGATCGTGTGCGCACATGTGGAAATATCCTTTCTTAGAAAATGTATTCTCCTGCGTAGATACCGCCGCTCGGTTCTCACACTGCTGCGTAGAAATAAACTCAAACCATCTGTGGCTAACTTCAAACGTGTGGCATCCGCTCACTTGGAGATGGCTGAGTCCAAACTCCTGAGTTTACTGGAAACTCACGCACGCCTACTACATGTGGAAGAGGATTTATCTTTGTGTTGTTGTGTTGTGTTCGCTAACTTTTGCAAATCCATTCTCGACCGTACAAGGGGAAATCGGAATACTCGGTTGGAGAACTCGCTTACGAACAGCCAGGATGAGGAGCCAGTCGTTCGTGATGCTAGTAAGTACGTGGTGAATTTATCAGACGTACAACTAGACGCTTTGCAGTTAGAAGCTTTGTCATATGGGCTTGATTACGAAGTTCCTCCTAGAAGACTGAACGGGTTGCTTATAGAAGCTCCGTTTGAGAACTTTTTTGATAAATTTAAGGAGCTTCAACCATCTAGTCCTGAGTGTTGTTTGGTCTAGAAACAAATTGACCAACATTGCCCACGAAGTTAAAACTGTGCCAGTGATTTAAAAATGCACACTTATAGGCCGACACCTTCTGGCGCTGCGTGAACTGCGTGCTAAGAAGGTAGTTGTGATGAAACCGGATAAGGGCTCTGGCGTGGTGGTCATGAACAAGGCCGAGTACGTTCAGAAAATGAGTTGCATACTCAACGACAAGAGTAAATTTGAACGACTTGATAAGATGGAGAACGTAGCCGTCGTTGGAGCTAGCATAGTTGCCCATCTTGAAATGCTTCTCCTTCATCGCGTGATTGATAGTGACACCTATAATTGTTTGGAGCCAAGTGGAGGCACTACTCCGCAGTTATACGGGTCACCGAAGACGCACAAGAGTGGAGTGCCACTTAGGCCGATTTTATCAATGGTAAATGCGCCGCAGCATAAATTGACTCGCTGGCTAGTGAAGATACTTTCGCCTCTGCGACAACTGTTCAATCCATATAGTCTTAAAGATTCTTTTCAACTTATCGGCGACTTAGATGACATCAACCTCTCCGATAAGATCATGTGTTCCTTGGATGTGGAATCTCCATTCACCAACGTCTCACTACAACAAACTGTTGGTTACATATGTGAGCTAGCTGAGCAATCTAGTTATTCGTTACCAATTCCGGTCGAATTTCTAAAGGAATCCTTCCTTCTGTGTACAGCAAATGTTGGCTTCCACTTTCAGAACACCCCATATCGTCAAATGGATAGTATGGCAATGGGTAGCCCACTAGGCCCTATACTTTCCAATTTCTTCATGCTGATGATAGACATATCCGCAGAAATAGCCCAGTTACCATACTATAAACGTTATGTGGATGACATATTGTCCAGTTGATGCAGCAACTCAACTGCGCACATACCAACTTGCGGGTCACCTGCGAAGTGGAACAGAAGAACTGTCTGCCATTCTTAGACATCCTCATCAGTCGCAGGGATGAGGGACTCATTAAAAGGTCTATCTATAGGGAAGTAACCTGGTCCGGTCAATACCTGCACTTCACCAGCTTCACACCAGTGCGGTACAAGCGAACCCTTGTGAAAACTTTAGTTAGTCGTGATAGACGAATTTGCTCGGCTGACTGTCTAGCCGACGAGCTAGAGTTAATTACAACCACACTCGTTGCAAATGGTTATCCACGTAGATTTATAGAGAGACAGCCAACAGCGAGGCCCGAAAGACTTGGTGCATACGGCAGTCAAGAAAAAAATCTATATCGAGTTGCATTTCAAGGGTGACTTTAGTGTATTGAAAACCACGAAACGTTTAATCTCTGCTACGCAGAGAAGTTACTGTGCTGCTCAGGTTGTGGTCATCAATAGAACCTGTAACTTGCCGGTGCCTCAGACGAAGGAAGCTCAACCGATAGGGGCCAACTCACACTGCATATCCAAATTCGTGTGCGACTGCAGAGACAGTTACATAGGCAGAACCAATCGATCTTTGACTTTCCGAACACGCGCCAAGGTGGGTTCAACGTGAAATTAACCAGCATCCCTGTCCCACTGAAGTTCTGTGCTTGCGAAAGTCGTGAGCTTCCTCAATAGGTAAACACCTACTGACTACGCGTCACCGGATAGAGCTCGGGTCAGCGTTCACACTTGTATTACGTCACCCTAATCCTCGCTTCCTCCGTTTCGCCGAGGCCGTTGCGACAAGTCGGCCCTGCGTGTTCAAAAGCAATTATTTATCAGCTTAAGACTGCCGTGGACATAGGGGTGGAACTTCCGTCATTCATTTTGCCCCTCATGCTTATTCGGTCACACGCATATTTAAGTATATAGTTGCATACCGGTTATTGTTAATGGTACTGAGAAGACAACACGAAATGCATGCAGCTACCAGTTTTCGTCTTCTCACCGTGCTTTTCAAATTTCTAAAGGGAACTAACCGTTTTAAATTAAGTAAACAACTGAAACAACTAATCAATTAAATAACGCAAGTAAGTAACTACGTAACGCCGGATCGAGATGCTGAAAACGAATTTTAGCACCGGCGTTCTGTCAATACATCTTCTCCATACATCCGATAATATTTTTCTTACTCGAACAGTATTCTTACCTTCTCGATAGTAGAAAAGTAAAATATGTCAAAATTTACGCTTTTCAATTCCTGTATTTGAAAGAGCGACAACCAAAAAGTACTACATAGAATAAATCGAACTTTTGCACCAGCAAGCCTTGCTATATCATCTGTCAACATATATAATGATTATGCGGATTAAGTGTGAAGTTTGTTGTAAAAAAATAATAATATATTAATAAAAGGGAAAAACGAAATTACCTTCCGAACAACCAGATAGTAATCGATGGTCTGAGTGAAGACGGCGTCAAGAAACGCTGTGCATGAAGCAATGTTAGAGCTATGACGACACGAACTTTCGTGTCAGTGTTCCGTTGCAGAAGACTGACCGAAATAACCAATGTCGTGTATAGTCTAGGGATGAGGGCTAAAAAACCTTGACAGTCAGACCAAAGATGTATTGAGTAAAATTAAGTGATAAGGATGCGAGTATCACGGACACATGGGCTGTGAAACGTCAGAAAAATTTTTAGACAGTCGGATTGCGTGCTACTACTGACATCACGCGGACACGATACAACTGCTGTGAATACGACCAAGCCAGCCCCAAAAACTAAAAGACAAAATCTTGCCAAGTTGGAATAACGGCCAGAGAAGCGCAGCTATTAGAATGCCGAGCATGCAACCCTAGACGATGTTCCTTGACACTCGAAACTGATTAGCCTGTCATTCGCTCTCCTTATTGGCGTGGAAAGTCGGCACTGCCGATACTTGACTCTGCCAGCCACCACTCATTGGTTGGTTCCTGGCCAACCAAATCCAAACGCTGTTATTAGCCATGAGGATCCCTACCGCCGTGACGCATGGACTATTAGCATAAGCCGACGAATGTTGAGAGGTCACAGATTCGGATCCGAGCACGGACAGGGGATGCGCGTCCCCGTTATTATTATTATTATTATTATTCAACAATTGACCAATGTAAAATTGGCAGTGCCACAACACATACTTGGCAACAAAAAAGGGGGCAATCGGGTAGTCAGTGGAAGGGTTTGGAAAGTTTAGAAGGTTAATGTGTTGTGTGGGCAGAGATCTTCCCGGTTGCTCAGGCCGAGGAAGAGGGTTGACTTAAGGGACCCTACCCCAAGCCTTTGGTCTTAAGACCTAACCCGCAAGGCAGCGGGACGATTAACGAAGACCGTTGACATACGGGTGGCTCCTTCGCCTTCTTTGTGTTCAGTAGCAATACATAGAGAAGCCGGTGGCCAGCAAGGTTGTTCATCCGCTCTCCGTTATATACTCACCTCTGGTTACAGAAGTGAGTGGTCAGTGACCATATAGCCGGTCACATTGGTTTTGACACTGCCGTACGAGCACTTTTGGGGTTTGATGGAAAACCAGGTGACCAGCCCAGAACTCCCCACGCTCGGAGACGCTGTCGCTGACTGTCCGCGACTGCTTATTCATCTCGCCTGCAAGGCAAACGAGACTTATTCGCAGTTACCTCCACAAGGAAGGCATTCCCCAATCAGCAACCTGGGGACGCGCCCGATAACGTACAGCTCCGCCACGGGGAGGAGTCTCAATAGGTCGAAACGGCTGTCTAATACATTGCGGATATGTAAAAGGCAGTCTGAATCATAAAGATGTAGTGGAAATGCAAGAGTAAAACCGAGTTGGGTGGATCACAAGAGCGAATCCTATTGACATCATGAGATCTGACTGTATTGTGTTAAAGTGACGTAGCTGACCTTACTTAGGCCAAGTAGGTTGGATATGGAGATCATAGAGAAGGGCAGATTAAGTGAGCTAACCACACAATCAGGAGCGATAAGACAAATAAGATCGAAGATCCGTCGCTATCTCAACACGAAAGAGTAAATAGACTGTCGCGTATCGAATTGAGAATCAGAATAGCCTAAGACAGAGGCGACGATGAGTTGGATCAAGGTTAAGCATATTATGAGCTAACAACATCTTACCTCATCTCCGCTCTCTGCTTAACCATCGCAACAATTAAGTGATCGCACGAATTCTGAATTCTATATATTTATCAAAATTACTTCACATGCCCTTTAGTTGATTAGCTCAAGTGAAATACCTCCAATTGTGGAGCACCCTTTTCCTCTTTGTCTCGAGATCAAAAGAGAATTTTCCTATTGCGCTTCCGTAGCTAACATAACACCTCGATGACTGCAACTTGCCCCGGTGATTCAATGGAGTAGATGATGGTTTAATTTTCTGCAATAACTCTTGAGTGGACTCACCCCTTCAAGGCTTTGTCCAGACTTTTTGGCGATTTCAAGGCGTTGGCTGTGCGGCAGTGTCAGATAACGCCAAAGTAAATCGGCATCAGCCACCTGGCCGCAAGGGTTGGCCAACTCCGGATGTGGCGGTCGGTAGTTCCTGGGGGCGGGGGTAAGAATAAAGGAAAACAGTAGTAAGCGGTGTGACCTGGATGGCCCAAGTAACATGCCGTAACCCAGGCACGTCAAACTCAGGAGCATGGGAGTTTGATAAAAAACAATCGGGGATTCCTTCGCAAGTGCACCCAAAGTGAACAGCTTTTATATGTCCAGAAAATCACTGGACAACCGTTTCGTTCTGTCGTTACTCGTCAGAAGTGCAGAATCATTATTGCCAAAACCAGTGACCACTGGCGGTTCGCACAGCTACTCAGCAGCTTGTGCCACTAAGCCATGAGCGACAGCTGCGGATCGTCATTATTTACAAGCTACAATTATTTGCATCAAAACCCCGTACTCCTGGGTAAATTAAAACATCCGCCCCAACAACTTCTTAATGCCACGTTGTATACGGATGATGCTAGTGGAAGTCGTGTCTCTAGGGGGCCAACCCTGGTCTCTGCAATGCTGGGTGAGTCGCGCTATATCGAAGTTAGTCTGTAAATCATGATGGTCCACAACTGTATCCCGTGGCTTAGTGTCATAAGCTGCTGGCTAGTAGTACGAACTGCTAGTGGTCATGGTTCCGGATCCTTATGAAGACGATGCTTCCACACTACCGACGAGTCCCGACAGGCCGAAACGACCGTCTATTATCCTTTCGAGCATGTGGGAGTCTATCGATATTGGAAGCAGCTGCGAAGGAAAGCCGAGAACATCCTTAAGTGTTAAAAAGCTCGACAGTCGGACCAGAAAAGTATTGAGTGAAAATAAATAACAGGGATGCGGATATCATGGGATGCATAACGTTAAGAAAAAATTTAAGCAACAAGGCGGCATGCTACTGTCGATAGTGAAGGCGACACAATACAATGATTGCGAATACAGCCAAGCGAACGTAGAAAACAAAAGTCTTGATAACAAGCTAACATGACGGCCAGAGACGCGCAGGTACTTTATTGGCTATTTTGTTGACATATCTGGCGTCATCGACATCATTTAGGCCCAGTTTGGTCAGAGAAACCACCGAGACCTTAACTTGGGAGGCATCATAATGACGCTGGCAAGCAGAGATTGGACAGTGAAATCAATGTCATAGATAGACATGGTTCATCATAAGGAGATGGATGAGGCGGAACAGAGATCTTCTCGTGGTGACCGCAACACAAGCTCAGTTCAGTTCAGCTGAATAACTATGATCCGAGGTGCGGTGGATACAGTTGCCACGGCACACACTGTGAGAATAATAGGAAATAATAACGGTAAGATACTGGGATTGAATGCAAATATAATGTAGAGAAAAGGAAAGCAAAAAGGAAATGCGCTAGACTAACCAGAATGAAACAAAAATTAACAACCTGATGAAAGAAACCGAACGCAGGAACGCCACTGACTTCGTGACTGCGCCATGTCTGACACGGTCTCCAACCATTGGTGTGGACCATCCCCAGGCCCCCATCCAGGAAGAATGATCAAGTGTCTCAGGCAATTTCTTCAAGTCTCTATGCCAACTTACTGTACTGGGACTAAGCTTATCATGTGCGTAAACGCAGATACCAAGAGGGGTGATGACGTGAGTTCACTAACATATCGAGAGCAGCGTGTACACAAGCGACACAATCTGTGAAGTAGGAATAGCATTCATAGTAGCCTTTGTTTGTGCTGAGTCATTGCTATCTTCAACATGCAACCAGTATCAACGCCCCTGCTAGTGCAGGTCACGAAACAACCAAGTATACTCGAACGCGCCGTTATTTATAAGATGCTGATGTATTTTGAACGAAGCAACGAAGTGGGGGAAAGAAAGATCCTAGCAGTTCAGTGGAATAAGTATGATGCGGGGATCGAAGTGCAGTGGATCCAGTTGCAACGGCTGCTGTGACAAGTAACTACGGTGATGAATATGGAGTACAACGTGAGTAGAATACAAAGAAAAAAAGGGTTATGAAGAAAGATTAGGAAGAATTGTGAAAAATTAGTTGGGGTAGAAAATGAACAGCTAGACTGTAAGAACCTCACTTGCCGCGCGATTGCATTGTGTCCGATAAAGCCACGCACCACTGATGTGACCCATACCGAGGCCTCCATGCAGCCTGACAAATCGCGCAGTCCAATTTCTCATAAGCTTAAGCAACTCATCGACTGACCGCCCCACGACTTCGCGCACCAAAGGAGTTAATCAACCAGCATACGAAGGACATGACCTAGCTAAAGTAAGCGGTTCAAGTTTAGTATACCCTCCAGTGCGGCTTCAGAGTCTTAACTACCAATGGACGGAGTTAGTAGTGCTCATTCGGCATCCCTAGCAGGGGAGACCGATACTTCGCAAACATCAGTGAGAAAAGACGGACAATATCTTAGGGTATACGATGTGAAATGGTCAGGTTTCCTATTCATGCAGTAACAGCCTGGATCACAGCACTAGACATCACACCTCTGACTGACATTCCATCTACATACATAAATAAGTCACTGAAAAGTCAAAAGGGCGTTGTTTATAAGTGAGGCAACCTTGTCGGCAATGTAATCAACAGAGACGACAAAACCACCAACAAACAAGTTAGCGTGATTGCTCGATAACAGCTAGAAAAGGTGACGTATCAATGAGGTCCTACAAGTGACTTATAGTTTAAAGTTGTACAAGCATAGCAGTCTGTTGCCCCCAAAATACAGTAAAACCGACTAGAGTTCCCTGTTGTTTGGACCTATTGTGAACAGCACTTCCTTGTGCGCGGGCTATAGCTGAATATGAATGATAAAATGTGATGAAAGCTCTTTCACAGGCGTAAAAACGGTGCAAGAGATGTAAGCAACTACTTACCAACATAACTTGGGCAGCATACCACAAGTGGGACCAAAGTGGTGTATCAAATTTTTCTCAGTGATGCGTAGGCGGCTGTACATTTTGTCGCGAAGTGGATTGAGCAGGAATATGGCGCCGTTTTGTGTCCCTGGAAAAGAAAGTGCATGTGGGAACGTGCCGCAAGAAAGACAACAAGGTACGTTTATTATTTGTGAAAAAAGTAAGGATCGTAGTTTGGGAAGTACCAAAGGACAACAATGAACAGTTCCGTACATACAGAAATGTGATATGCACTATATATATATATATATATATATATATATATATATATATATATATATATATATACATATATATATATATATATATAGCGCATGGCAGTTAAGGGGTGCCAGAATGTGGCTTGGAAACGACTGCGGAAGCGAGTAGCGCTAAAGTATAGACGAGAAGAAATTTAGCGGATAGATATTATCACTGCAGTTTGTGAAACAGACATGGACCACGAGCAAAGTGCTAAGTCCAAGCAGTCTGAATAGCCGAAACTGGTGGATTTTGACGGATTAAACAGTAGTCAGAGTTTTGCGTCAAGGAGTGGACGCACCACTCTTACGAGTCAGCAGAGTACGGATAAGTTAAAGTTCTATTATCGAAATCCTGAAAAACCAAAGCGGCGGAAGTGCATTCCCCGTTCATGACGGAAAGGGCCCAGTTGATTTCTGGTGTGCGGTACACTTTGCGCACGTGCTTGAAATAGCCTGAGAATAGGATGCCATGTCAGAGTATAGTCTGACTTCAAGTAGACATAGAGGGTGCAATGGATCGATTCAGATGAAACACGAAACGCGAAGAAACCGTCAAATGAACAATCTCTGCTTAGATTTTTAGGTGAAGGCCTATGGGCTCGAGCTGCAACCATGGCATTTGTGATCCGGTGTTCACTCATAATACATGCTCCTCAATAACACGTGGCCTCGCCATGTATATGGGCCCACATAATCACATATCACGGTGCCTGGTGGGCAGACGATACTCTCCGGCGGCACATTCCGATGAGGGGCTTCGTTTGAGAGATCCCAACTGCAGTTTCTGCGCAACAGGGATGGGGGTATTTACAGCTTAGAAGCGTGACTGTAGAGCTACAAAAGCAACGATTAGCTCATATATGCGCATCGCAGTCGAGTACGCAACTGCAACCATAGTCAATCACAAGTGGGACTTGGTGGGTTTGCACCTTTTCGATCGAGAATTGGTTGACTTTAGGCAGACGATGGAGAGCCATTGTACACAGGTTAATATTTTCTCCATGCCAGAGACAATGCGTGGCATCAGTGCTCTGCGTCAACCGAGCTGGGGGCCTATAACCCTGCTGACTAGTGTTTCATATGGTTAAGTTCTGAAGGAAGAGGCCATCGCTCTCTACTCAACTCCGATGAGGAAGACAGAAAATCGGTGTGTACAAGCCATAATCATTGACCTGCCTGGTATCAGTAGTTCCGAAGACACACAAAACATGCCACTTGGTTCAACGGATAGCAAGGGTACGAAAACTTTGTTCGGGCTTCTCGCAATCTTTCATGAATGTTGGTACTGTTCCAAGATGTTCCTCCATGGTGAAAAGGATATTACTAGCAATATTATTATTACTCTGTCATAAAACTATAGACCGCCAAATAGTTTGATCTGCATAAGCAGAGAAGCACAACATCAGTTAGAGAACCTAATTCAATCTGGGTGACTTCTTTTAGGGCACAAAAACTAGCCTGAAGCAAACCGATGTAACTCACCTAAGTAAATGGAATGCTTCAGTCTCTCCGGATCCGTATTTACACTCGGGGGAAGTGAGGGCGGATTTGAACCAGAACTGACCTTGAGCACACCGGGGCCGCTAGCAGCGGCGCCGACTGTGGGATCCGTGCTCTCGCCTGAAGCTGCGCCCACAGTGGTGGATGACGCCGCTTGAGGTGTATGTGCAGATGTCTTCGCGGATAAAAGTGCATGTCTTAGACGATTGGCCACTCGCAGGGAGCATGTAACTCTGGAGGGGAAGCGTAGATCAGCGCGCCGCACCAGTCTCCGACCGGACCTGCTGGCGGGATCCAAGGGGTCGTAACTGTAGATGATAGCGTTCGATTGTTCATCAACAACTAAAAAAGCATGGGGCGAGGAAGATCAAGGCGTCTGATGAAAGGTAGATCTAAAGGAACCAACCAAAGGAACAGGATGAGAATAAGCAGGAAGAACTAACCGAGAAATCCCAAGCGTCGTCCATCAACAAAGAAATTGGCTGTGAACACTTCGCGAGGAATATTGTCTCGACTGACCACGGACAAAACACGCAGATCTGACTGAAATCGCAGAAGCTGGATGGATTTGAGCACATCCGCGGCCAAAACTAAATTTTTCACACATAAAAGGTTGTGGATATAGAGCTCAGAGTCCACAAATGCAACGCCAACGAGATCGCCATTCTTCAGTGTCCATATGTAAACCTGAGATGTATGTATTGATAGAGGAATTAATCTTGTGAATGGAAACAGGTAACGTTACAGCTAGGTGATTTTATAACAAGGAGGGATGGCGAACGATGGGAGGCATAACAAAGAGGCTATAGAAAACCGGTCTGGTTGTGCAACCCTTGTGGCTTTCATGTAAACACATCAGTTGGCAACGGAAACCTAACCAATTCCGCCTTATGCGTTTTCATTTCTATTTTCCATATTTCTTCGTGTTTTTCCTTTTAACTCGGATACACTTAGGGTGCCGGTACACAAATACGCCTGGGTTGGTTAGATAATACAAAACATGGCCGCCTTGCACATTACATATAAATCTCGCCTTCTGGTTGTTGTCTTGACCGTCGTGTACAGCATTTCCCCTCTTTAAATACAATAGCAAGAAAATATGTTGTCTAAATTCGCCGTTATACTAAAAGCGTTGGAATCGTGTTTTAACGTTATTACTGTTATATCCTTACAGTTCATCCACTGCTCCGAAGAAAATAAGACTTGGCTCGGTTCGAACACAGACATCTCCGCTACGATCAAAGAAAGCATGTTACAATAAGTTGTAGTTGAGAAACTTCAATGAAAGTAGCGCAAAGGATGTTTTTTCGCCGAATACAAAGAACACATAAGGAATCTGAGCAGGGGACCATTCTTAGTGGCATGATTTCTTTTTTGGACCTATGTTTATAAAGGGTGCGTTTCCCGAAACCACGAATATGCATCAGAATGGTCATCAATAATAACGTTCAGTAAAAGTGGCCGCAACATAGAAAAATCTGCACCGTTACTCGGTGCTGTAGTTAACCCAGCACATGCATTACATCAACGTTGAAGTTGCTCTATGCACAACTGTTTTGCTGAGAGCCTGATTTGCATTCCTAGAGCGGTGTTTCAAGGCTACCAGAGAAGATGCAAATATTGAAGAAGTGCTTATGCACCCAAAGCCGGTATCTTGAACATTGGTTCCACGAGGCTGGTAATCGTTATTAGTTGGGACAGGACACACAGTCTTAGTGACAGTGTCCGGTGCAGAGTGAATATCTGAGAAGATCAGTCACAAATCACCAATCTCTTTGTGCCAGAGAATCAGCACCACATGTACTAATAATGTGTTGCCACGCAACCGTGAAGCGATGCACGTGAGTTGGGACACGTTCGCGGCACCAATACTCCCATGAGTATGAATCCAAACGCGGGATGTAGAGATTGCAAAAACAACCATCGCGAACCCTCCTGCGAGAGTCATGTGTAGACGCTGCATCTCGTCGTAGATGGGTAGTTTGAGCATCAAGAAACAACCCAAGGGGTTCACAGCGACGTTATGAACCTGCAGACGACACACGGACCATCGAATCGTGAGTCATAATGGAGCGTGAAGCGGAATTCAGATATACCATGCGTACAAAACGTGTGGGCGGAGCTATGGGTTGTGCACCGCAACCCATAAACGAGTTCTACCTTCGAAGGTGCAGGTAGTTCGGTTCACTTCGATTAATCAGCTGTGATCAGCGCACCGAGGTGGGTGAATCTACTTGATGTAACACACGTTGCCGGGAAAGTAACGATAATATAATATGTAATAAAGCATAGAAATGATAGTTTAAAAGATAGTATATATGGTTGGCGGCATCCGGTTTCGGATTTGTATGTTACTGTGGCCAGCCACAAGACGACTGCGCCCACAGTGGGACCATGGGTGGCTTGCGCTGCACCACCCACATCTCCATCCACACACCCCATATCCAGTGTAAACCCGAAGGAATAAGGCCGGGAGGCATGTGGATGGGAGCCACGTTTCCTCAACGGAGCCGGCTCACACTTCTTCACAGGCAAACACAAGCACGCTGTATTTGGGAATGAAGCGCACACAAGGCGGTGGCTGGACTGTGGTCCGCTCCACAATGAGTGCATCGAACCACTGTTCGAGCCTAACGCCGCCACGAGGACCATGCACCCCGTCCGCTCAAGCAAGGACAAACTGTCTCCTGGAGGCAGTATAGAAGAGGTAGTGGGTAATAGACAGGTAGGCATCCTGTCAACACGCACATCAAACGCAGCCACACCGGGGATGTTAAACAACAGCGAACCACTTGAAATGAGAATAACAAACAATATATATAGAATAACGCACACGGAATTGAAGACATAACTCTAGGCTAAATGAGCACACGTAATAAATTGCATATCAACAAATCCGCGCTAACTTCAAGATGTCGAAAAATTATTTTTATGCCACAAAGGCGAATAGGTTAACGAAGTTAACCACAAATAGCTTAAGAGACGTGTGTAAGTTAATAGGAGATGATGCAAGTAGACGTTAAATGAAGAAAAAATATAACCATTGAGAAACTACATCAAACGCACTGCCTGAAATAAAGAAACTCAGCACGCAAGCACGCAGTTAGAAAATCGAGTGCAGCGTACCTACCAACACTGCGTCGGCTCTGCTTACGTTCTCAGCAGGACCCGTCGTCATTTCGACGCTGGTTCCGAGTGGCCTCGATTGTGCCTCACTAGGCCTGCTGACTCAGGCATTGGCGACCGCATGTGCTGCACCACCATACGCTGGACGTCCATGGAGTATACCCAATCGGCGCTTGTCGCTTCCGCAATTGCCGCTTTTTCTCTGCATGCACGAAGACTATCTCTTGCACCTGGGCAACTGCCTTTGTGATCAGATGGTGCCATGCACGCCGATCAACCGCTTTTGATTCCCATGACCTGCAATCAAGATAAGAACGTGAGAGGCTCACTTTGATCATGTCCTGGTAACGAAGCTTTGATTTCCCCGCATGCCGCTTCCCAACACTCAGCTGAGCATCTAATAGCTGCTTCTGTATCCGCGTCGAATCCATAAGCCGCATATGACCAAGCCGCCTCAAGCGTCTCAGCAAAAGTATGCAGTCCACTGCATACATTGCACTTCGGCGCAGCACCTCCGTAGCTGCAACTTTATCGTACCAACCGATGAGCACAATCAGTCGCAAACACTGTTAATGAAACTGCTTGAGATATCTCACGCCTCGCCGGTACATCGTCCACGTTTCACTGCCGTATAGAAGAACGGACACCACCATGGACTTGTACACCAACAACATCGTGCCGAAGGTAAGCTGGTGGTTGTTCCACGCTTGGTACTGAAGCATCCCGAATGCCGCCGTTGATTTCGATACGCGGATACGCAGCTCACTGGGTATCTGCTGGTCGGTAGAATCCACACTCCCAAGGTAGCAGAAGCGGGAGGTGGTTTCCAATATATCATCACCAATGCTGATTTCTGGCAACATCGCAAGCTACACCTCCGGTGAAGGTTGAAAGAAACAGACAGTTTTGCTTGTGTTGATGGTGAGCCCGAATTTGGCCGCTGTCGAAGCAAGAGCACTAGTCAAGTGCTGCAACACATCCGCGATATGCGCAAACAATGCACAATAGTCCGCGAACAGCAACATACGGATAGTTGTCTCACAGATTGGGGTTCTTGCAGCGAAATGACGGATGTTCAGTAATCCACCATCAATACAGTGTTTCACACGAACATCGTAAGCACAAGCAACATCAAAAGCACAAGACATCATTGCATGAAGATAAATATTAAACAGGGCAGGAGCTAAGGCACAGCCTTGCTTCACACTAAGGACAACTGCAAAGTCCCCCGAGGTCTGTCCACTCAGCTGCACCATCGCCCACATAACACTGTGCAGACATACAAGTAAACTTACAAACTTACCCAACACCAGCCACAATGCCTCACGGTTCACCGTATCAAACGCTTTGGTGAAATAAACAAACGACGAGTACAACGGCTGCTGTGGTTTGCTGCACTTCTCCTGCAACTGACGAGCCACAAACACCATATTTATAGTGTTGCGACACAGAATCCACATTGTTCTTCCGCCACGTTCGGTTCCACAACCTGATTGACGAGGCGATTGAGAAGGATTCGGGCAATCACCTTGCCAACACAACTCAGCAAGTTGATACCACGATAATTCGTGCAATACTAACAATGCAGCAGAAACGGACAGAGATTGATGTAGACACCTAAGACAAGCAAGAGAGGGAAATGGACGCGAAGGCCCCACTGACTCCGTGAGCACCGCGTGCTCGATATGGTATCCGACCGATGTGGTGCGGACGGTCCTGAGGACTGTAGGGGAAGGCCACAAACACATAACCGAATTAATTAGGCGTAAGAGAGTTTAATATCAGAAAGCAAACGAGAAATTTTGGCACAACTCATTTGGCTCCTTCACCAGTTGTGAACAATACTTCGCAGGCATAGATGTTCAAACGCAAGCAGTCTTTTAGAAGTCAAAGGGATTTTCAATCTAGTAACAAACGGACAAAAGAAAGAGAATCAGTAGTACGCCGGTACGCAGTACCGACGCTTTGCTGCCGCGCAATCATCACCGGTCCCATGTGAGCTAAGGATACTGTGAGGATCGCCCTGTCCCTACGCAGGATCGAACCCGCGCCGTCAGATTACAAGATAAGCTCGTTACGATTAGGATATGACCGATAAACAATCGCTGAAACAGATGCCAGATGGGTGGTGAAAAAGAACTTTCAGGTCAATCCAAAACCGATTTGTCGTGAAAAATGCACTCGGTTTTACTATATGTTCTTAAGATAGGAAAACCAGTGTCAGTTACTCTTGGTGAGCTTCGATGTAAGGGGCAGGTGGATTTAGAATAGAACTGGCGAACGCAAAGTTGGCAGTTAAACAGCATGGTGCATGGCCAAAGTAATCCAAGGAGCAACGGCCGTGAGAGCGAAGCATAGCTGCACACTAACATGCGGCGGAAAACGCAAAGATACGGGTGTCCATGATGATAAATTCCGTTGGGACGGAAAACCCACATCGTCGTCATCGCGAGAGAAGTTGCCACGAAGGAGCACCGTTAGCTTCTTAGCAGGCGGCATGGAGAGTAAGCCGAGACAAGTTGCATCGCAGACAAAGAGAGAATACCATTACGATAGCAATAACGCATAAACGAAAATCGAAGTCGAAATGCGTACGATGATGATGGTACATAGAAAAGCCCGGCGAAATACAATGCGGTTGGGACATGGGAACAGGCAATAAAGTAACACCGCGGAACATGTTAAGCTAAAAACGGGTAGACGTGCGAACCACCACTGCAAACATTCAGGAAGAGGAAAATGAAAGACGAGTAAACATGTGAAGAAATATGAGAAACCCAGGAGCAATTCTATCTGGTGGCTTGACTTCTGGCACTGGAGGCATTAACATAGGAATCCGTTCAGCCACAGCCCCTGACAACACAACATATTTTGGCGACGGATGTGGAATACTGCTTTTCTGTGCACGTTACAAGATTCAATCAGATGCAGCGGTGCAACCTGGTTTTGGTTTTCAGACACTGCATCAAATTCGGTTTAGGCTTGCCCTAAACCCTAAGAAAAAATAAAACAGTCGTAAAGTCAAGACAATATAAACTTTATGTATCCTAGTGGGTACATTGTCAGCGTTTTACAGTATCCACTATGGGTGTACTAAAAAACAGCAGCAAAACTGTACAACTGTAGAAATGGCATTAGGAGTACAAGTGTCACCCTATTAAGCAGTCCCGTATCTGTAGTCTGTTGGCGGTACAGGGTCGAAGACCAGTGTATCGATCCGGACGAAGATTCCTTACATTACAAAACGCTTTCCCATGAGTTCGCGCAGTATCTCTACGTCTATTTTCAAAAATCTGTGAAGGACAGCCTCAGTGACTTTGTGACTGGTCTAACCGAATAGAATGTCAGAAAGCCCAGCGAAGACTAATAGATCCGCAGTAGATAAAGTAAAAGTGATGTTCCAGTGAAAAGACAACAAGCGTTTTAAAGGCCCAACCCCAAGGGATAGAAGTCTATGGAGCAACTTGTTTCTGCTCGTAAGCATACTCTGTGTGTTGGCATTGTAACACGCAATCTAAGAACTATAACTAGCTTTAAAATCAGACTCTATAGTTAAGCTCATTGAGACCGTATCCGGTGTGGAGAGTGTTCGGTGTAGCTCGCTTTAAACATAACACCACATGCTGGGTTTCAACCTTGTTTGGGAACTTCAGGCAAAGAGATCCGCAGTTTGCAGTGGAATGCGACATGGTAATTGAGTCTTGCAATCGACACATGGTACCGGCGCCAACCAACACTGTTCCGGCTATCTCACATGAAGACCGTAAACAAGAAGAAAGGTGGTCATAGGATACAACTCCGGAAGCACGACCAAATTTGAGAAGACGAATGGAACTGAGGATGGACGCTCCGATAGATCTATTGTACCGTTCACCAGTCGAACGTTGAATGACGCGTAGCCAATTATCCCAAAATTAGAACAAGTCTAGATCGCAATATCTACGATACTACTAAAAGATAGACTTCTGGTGAGGGGGCTACCCTGTCCTCTGCACGGTAGTAACGTGCAAGTCAGTGGATAGTGAGCGGCGCTATATCACATCTAGTAACTTATTCACGATGGTCGTTGCCGTCCCCCGTAGCTCAGTGGTCTTAACCACGGACTGGCAACAGTCGAGATGCGGGTTCGAGCCCTAAAAGGGGTCCGATGGAATGCGCACTGCTGACGATTCCCGTAAGGATGAAACGCGCGTACAGTGGTTTTCCGGGCGTGTGATGGCTGTCTGAGTGAGTCTAGATGTGACGAATTTCTAACTATACCATTCAACTCCCCCTACTACTTCTCTGTAAAATATAGACAGTTAAGTAAAGTGGGAAAACTCCAATTGTTCTCGGTAGAGGACTGCCAACAAATTGCAATTAAAGGAGGGGAGATAGCACTGTGGAAAACGTTGATCAAAGGCAGCCAGAAGACAAGTGAGCATGTGAAAGACGTGTGAAACCATTAACAAAGGCACTGGCTAAGCAACGACGACCCAACCCAAAGTGAGGAAAGGGAAGGCACACACACATACACGACAGCATGGTGTAAAACTTGATGACCTGTGCACCGTTTTGAGAAGGTGGTAACTATGTTACAACACTATGGAGATGGTGACATCAAACCATGTGCATGGGGCATCTGCTACAGTGAGGGAACCACTGAACAAGGGTGTAGGCGTATGAAGGTTTAAACAGTTACTAAGGCAAGCATATGGGATGGGGTAAGATAGTGTGATCAAATTATCCGGGTTTTTGGAGGACATGGTTTGGTGCACGAGCGGTCCTCGCAACCACGATGAAAGGTCATTTGAATGAACCGAAAAGTACAGTCCAAGTGACAACCGGGAGCAGGTTTCAGAAGAGAATCAACATCAAGGATTACGGGTGAGTGAATGGGAAGGATAGGTTTCGACGGGGAGCTCAAAAAATAGCAGTTTTTAAAAAATGAATAATAAGGAAAAGGGGAAAACTTAATTGGCCTAAAATGGTAGAACTAGGATGAGCGAAAAATGTACTGTTCCGTTACCTTTTGTCCGATGGCGCTGATCAGATGACCTTGACAACTGGTCATCGCAGTGACAGGACCTTTCTGTTCCCCGTCATAAATGGTTTTCAGTTTATGGCGAGTCAATGGCTGTCCAGGTTCGGGGACCACATCAATCAAGTCCAATATGATGATACGGCCACGAACGGGAATCTCTTCTCCATAGGACAGATTTGCCCCCAAGGCCAGGTAATCTTTTGTTCCATGAAAGGTTTGTTCGGAAGCCAGCTGAGCAGTTATCATACAGGTAACTACCTCCCATGGCTCAAAATCAATGCTGCGGAATTTTAAAAAGTAGGTAATTGGTTAAATCAAACTGGGATGGATATCAACGTTCGGTGGATCAAATTACCAATGAATTTGAAATGAAAGACTTATCAGAATTTGAAATGATTGAGAAAAGTGCAGTGAGCTCATAGCTGAACACGGAAATCGTAAACATGAAAGGGGCGAGGAACGTGATGGACACGAATGCATTGTATCACTCTTAGATGAAGTGTTTAGATGGTGGGTCTCTTATCAAACCGAAGGAAATCGATTGGATCCACGCACAGGTCCCGAGGAGGTGATAGAAACAACAAGGCTTTGCTTCTAAAAAATGTCAGGTGTTAATCGATGGTAAATCGCCCATCACAACCGGTTCTGCAATATTTTGTACTCTGTAGACAGTGAGATCAGAATTGCGACTGGAATCCCAGAAGTAGGGAGTACTGACTGACTTTTATCAAAATACCAATGAATCTGGGACAGCTCCTGCTTCGACGGCTAGTGTGTCACCAGAACGTTCACTTTTGGGCACACATGGTGTGAATCGATTGGGATGCACAATCCCAATAGCGCTTTCAAACTCCTCCATAAGGAGATTATGTTAATCCATAGATGGTCCTTACCACTATCAAACTGCATCCAACGGGCGAGAATGCACCTAAGTATATACCGTTTGTTGAGTTGTCAATACTAAATCAGCCAATAACATCAAAATATGTGTACTTATCTGATATGTTATCGGCTGATATAGAATTAGTCATTTGACGAAAAGTACGAATCTTACGATGCAGTAGTTGTGGTCCTGCCAGGCAAAAGGTTAGTTGATTTTGATCATGCGGACGATGTTGAGGCAGCCCAATCAACCCTGAATAACCACACAAAAGTGGTCTCTCTCATTTGGCATGCGTTTCGCACGTTCAAAGTGCAGTGTTGCTGCAGAACCGCTAGCCACTTGATGACCCCTGGAATCATGATAACGAGAAACTCAAGGCAGTTGATCAGATCACTTACCTCGGTAGTTGCATCAACAAATATGGGCGCATAAGTACTGAAGTAGGTTCACGTATTGTAAAAGCCAGAACTGCCTTCTTGAATATGCGAAGTGTTAGGTATTTACAAGGCCATAGCTAGGCCGTCCGAGGCAGTGGGAGTGAGATTTACCTTTCGATCTGAGGCCCATTCAAATCTATGATCATCGCCGTTTGCGGAGACTTGCTGGTATCTGTCTGGTGTCAGTGTGTTCGCAACGATGATGTGCGCAGGCAAGCCCTAGGCAATGATAACGCTAGTTTCCTAGAACAACAGATGACACTGAATAAGCTGCGCTGACTTGGGCACGTACTACGTATGCGAGGTCACTACACCATTTCCCGGCCAAGTTGTCCTCTTGGGCAACAGAAATAATCTGAGGGGGCATTCAACATGAGTCTACTCAATTAATTTGTTCCGTGCATAGGAGCTGAAGCGTTCCACGTGCACCCCTATGACTTAGTTCATCTGACGCCCAGTTGGCTGAAGGCGACGGAGTATACACGCACACCTGCACAAGTGACTGGCGTACGCACGGAACAAATTAACTGAGTAGACTCATGTTGAATGCCCCATCAGATTATTTCTGTTGCCCAAGAGGACAACTTGGCCGGGAAATGGTATAGTCACGGAGGAGGGACTTGTTTTGTTTGGCAAATGTAGGATAGCTCAAGGCTCGAGGTGCAAAAAAGTTAATTAGGCAGCGAGAAATGAAGTCACTGACGATTGAACTCGGTGTCGTTGGTCTGTCACGCTTTCTAGGCTGAGTCTACGTGATTTACGTTGTGCATGGCTCCAGATGTTATAGGACATGGCTCGAAGTCGATACCAGTGGCAAGTCTGCTGCTGTCTCCTAGTCGGACTACCTGTTTAAAGTGTGTTTGGTGCTGAGTTATCTGCGAGGTAATGGCAGATCATGACTCGGAGTAGTGAAAGCCGCAAGGAAACTGACTTGCCGATGCTATCTTACTTTTGCACGATAGCCAGCTGTTGCTGACAAAATGTAGACGCCTTGACCCTGAGTGCATGTTTAGGGTTTTAACACTTTACGCCAGGTCCCCCTTCTCTCTCTTATTGATCTTCTTTCTGTAGATCGTTGCGGTTGTATGGCAGCGAAGCATCAGTTGAAATGGCTGATGCACTGTTGTTGAGGAAAAATTTCGGGGATGGTGCCCGTTGGATGTAACTTGATAGCGGTAAGGATGATGTTGAGATATCTATGGAGGAAAGTGATTTGCTTAGGAAGGAATTTGAAAACGCTCGGGAAGCAACTGTCTGAGAAAAGTTACAGACCGCGCTTGATGTCGAAGCAATTCAATGTCAGCCTGGCCAATGGAAGCGAAACAAAAACAGTTGTGTGGTTAGATGAGTTGAAATCATCACAACCGGGCTCAGCGTAACTGATTGTCCAACGAAATATTGATCCACTTTTGATGTAGGTCATAGTAGATCTAGAGAACGCAAACCAGTAACTGGCGGTGTACGGAGAAAAGCTAGATCGAGTTACACATGTTACACCGAGGTCATGTGACCCATCGAACGTGCGTCCGCACATCGTCCATACCAAAACGAGGCACTGGTCATGCCGCATGAAATCGGGCGTGCACAGCCCTGTGTTCGTCTTCAACTGAGCCCGTATTGAAAAGCAGCCTATCTCTGGCTCGATTTTGCCGTGTGCCTGTGGAAATGCCCGGCTGAATGATGGTGGAATTCAAACGTCATTCAGTGGGGTCGCAGATGATACGAATTTGTTCAGTTACTCCGGGCATGGGAAACGGAAAAATAGCAGTCGTTCATTTGCTCAGCACATAATGCGATGGAGCACTGGCTCGATCGCATAGAAGCGTGCATCGTCAAGCGGCCGAAGCGAATGAACGAATTCACAAAATCGGTGAGAGGAAGCAACCAACCAGAATCATATCCAAGTTAGTTACGTATAACAACTCAACAACTGCGCATCAAGACACGAAGGATCAAGATGTGATGGCTTACAATGCAGTAATCATAGCAAGATAAACAACAAAAAGAATAGTAATAAGTTGAGAGGAATGATGAAGTAATAAAGTGGCCAGAGGGAGTACTAAGGGGCTACAAAAACGAATGAAAGTGTGTCATTGACTCCGTAATGGCACTATATACGTAAAAATACTGAAAACTGATAATAGCAACGGTGTTGCTACATCGACATATTGGCAGGCAAGCAAGCGGAATAAGGTCATTTATTGCCGCGCAGTGTAAACGCAGTTCAGTTGTGCGACGTGCCCGGTCTCGATGAGCCCAACTACCAAGACGATAATTACTAGTGGAACTCGACATTTTGCATTATCAACTGCACATAAAATAAAAAATAAGATCAGCGAAAATACGAAATCTCACAAACGGATAAAAGAAGGTATCAGCAGTACGCCGGTAGGCAGTACCGACGCTTCCCTGCCGCTGTACGTGGACTAAGGATACTGCGAGGGTCGCCCGGTCCCGACGCAGGATGGAACCCGCGCCCTCGGATTACATGGCAGGTTTGTGATCCCTAAAGCCACGGCCCAGCAAACAGATATGCACAAGGGAAAGGGTGTACAGTTGTCACTCGAGTAAACGGTCCCGCATTCCCGAGCATGGATCGTATATTGCTGAGCAGAATTCTCTGGATTTGTATGTAATCTACTGATCAGTTTTGATTAAAAAAGCATTCAAACTTGCTTGCAATCCGCCTAGAATTTTGTGGTCAAAAGCAACAGATCGCAATTCGTGCGCAGTATCTCAACTTTGCATTCAAAATATGGGTAGAGTTGGAAGGCCTTAATGACCTGGAAAATGGCTTGACCAAAGAAGTCGTCAAACTTTTCTTGTCAAACTAACATATCCACAGTTGATTGTGTAGAAACGATGCTCGGAGGAGAAAGCAAGGGCCAATTTAAACGCACCACCAAAACTTTTCGATTAGTTTCTTCACACGCACGTGACACGTCATTAGCTGAATACCCCGGGTTTCCATCATCTGGACGCAGTATCGGCAGCTAGAAATATGCGCATAATTTATGCAGAAACAGCGACCATAACACTCAAAAGTGTAGTTAAAAGCGTGACAACATTTGAACCCATGCAATTGTTGAGCAAGTACCCTGTGTTTGGAATGGGTTGCCATGTGCCTTCGCGAGACAAGGATGGAGCGTACATCTGTAGTACGTATTGGTCCAGTGTAGGTAACACCGCAGTCGGTGGCCGCAGAGTCATCTCTTCCTCTTTGTTGCCTTCTGCGTTGAGATGATACACAGAGGAGCAAGCAGAGCACCGTGTGCCCACGACAGAGTAAGTCTGAAATGAACGGGAGATTAGTTGTCGGAGCAAGTCTGAAGATAGCAAGTGGGAGAAACGTTTAACCACAAGAGAAAGAGCACAAAATGAAACATTACTTAGATGGGTGTAACTGATTAATGGCTAGGTGATGCGAATTGCATTGAAAATGAGTAGAGAGTCAGCTCCTGTCTTGGCGTTCCAACAGCATAAGCAAGATAGGAAGAAATCGATGGAAATGAATAGTGCTTTGTAGATGATCAAACACGCAAGTACGTAGTACCGGAGGGAATCCATAATTTACGCAAATGCGGTGGTTTCAGGAGGAGAACAGAAAACCTGAACAGAAAAACGGTGCGCCTGTACTGAATGATGTATAGAAAAGATCGCCAGTAGCAGTTAACTGAGTTCAAACGATGGACTCAACATTGAAACGAGTGTCAGTTCGTAAAAAAATACAGAGTCGTTTCCCCAACGCCGAATTTGAGGTGTAATTAACGTGAAATGGAATCCGATGCAAAAATGATGGCATAAACAACGTATATGTGATAAATCCAACTACAATGACTGACATTGTCGTAATAATGAGAATACCAGAAATACTAACGACAACTAAATGAGAAATGGCAAGGATTAAAATCACCAGATGGTACAAATGGGAGCCTGAAAGTTGTGAACGAATAAAAGAGCGCCACTGACAGTGTGAGCGCGTCATATCCAATCCAAAGGACCCCATGCAAATTGACAAGTAGTAAGCGGATTCAAACACTAGTGAGTTGATCCATGATCTTTTAACACGCCAAAAACGGAGTACCTCAAAATTTCATCTAATGGCACGTAATACATGGAGGAGATGTTTCTGGAATCTGCGAGAGTCGCTTAGGAAGTCAGTTGGATCTGAAGTCGTTTTCAGTGCTTGTGTAAGCGTACTCGAGGGAGTACGACGTGACGAAGCAATTGGAAGACCACGCTTCACCTGCGTAAAACCATTTCGAGATGTGCTCGCGAATCCTATGAGTTAGGGGCCTCGTAGTACGTACGACCCATGTAGCGTGTAATACGGGAGCGCGGATAGTGATGAACAAGTAATGATGAAATCAACAGAGGCAGTTTACCCTTCAACGTGTAGGTGAGGCACAAAATAGGTGTTCTCAAGAGCGTCTTCCAGATGTTTGGACAAGGCATCAGTCGCAATCGTATTTGAATAGTAAATGAACCAAAAGTTCCTTTCTTGGGTACACACGTTCCCGGTGACTTCCCTTATCTTCATCCAGAGATTTGAAAATGAATTAACTCAGACATCCATTTGTTTCTAGGGCGTCGTTGTTCCTCTGCAGTTCTTCGGTAAAGGTATCCGGTGTGCAGATACTGCGCACTCGGAAGGCGAGAATGCGGACTAGAATCTGCACGCACTGTAAATGTTGGTGTACTGCCCAGTCCGAACGTGTTTTCTATACAGATTTCTGCTGTACGATCCATTGGTGTTTCTGATAATACCAACGTCAAGAAACGGCAGTCGATAACCGCCTCGTGCTCATATGTGAAATTCAGACTCTGATGCAGGTCCTTAAAAGTATTCAACCGCTTCACAGCCTGCACCTTTAATTTGGGAAGTATGAGAGCGCCATCCACATAATATAGATACATTTAATCGTCGTCGATGTGCCATCATAGTGAGCTGTGCTCCAATTTCCCTATAACGACGTGCTAGCAGAGGCCCCAACAACGACCCCATGCCAATCTCGTCAACTTGAGGACATCTCTCCCCCGTGAACGTAAACTGCACGTTTAAGGTGCATGTGAGTAACACTACTTTCAGAAGAGTTTCCGGGAGATCTATAAACAGTTTCAATTGTGGTACAAGTTCGCAAACATATTTCACCATTTTCATGCTTAGTTCTCCGTAACATTTGAAAACTCAATGGACGATTGAAAAGCTGAAGCCGCTGCGGAAAACAATCTTGCCAGAGCAGCAATAAAAATACAGGTATGTTTATGTAACCGTTCCTGAGTGCAAACTTTCGTGGTGGTTTAACGTACCATTTCGTTATCCCTATTCTCTATTTTTGCTCTTAGGACGGATTTCTACTCTGACGCTAACACTCTCATTTTCCGTTCTTTGTGTGCACCTGATTGGTTCCTGAGTTGTTCAGTCTTGTATTGGCTTTACTTGCCCGCACGCTTTCTGTACGCTGACTGGCTTTCACGCTTGTGCGTCATGCTATGTAACGAGCTGGTATCCCTATGTGTAAAACCCTTGAATCTTTGTTGTTCGCGTTCTCAGTAGTCCCTAGGATTTTACGACAGAATGGCGATAACGCATGTCGGACTTTAGCCGTGCTCGTAATCAGCCAATCAGTGTTTGATCCACTGCATATCTTCTTTCCCTGAATGCTCGGAAAGCACTAAAATGCCATCTGGTCTTATCCGGACTCGTTTGCAATCCACAGCCGTTGGACCCATGTGGATTCGGACCTATAGTCACTGGTGACTTACACTGCCGCCTGATGCGTTTGCTAGCATGTGGAAGATTATCCTGAAGCGGATACGACAAGATCTCAATGAATGAAATCAGAGTAGTTTGAATTCAACATAACCAACAAATTAATACAGTCACATGAACCGAATTGCGCAATGATCTAGCTGAGCAATGCACAACGAGCACAGTGTGATGCGAATAAACCGAGTGGATGAGTGTGCGTAACTCGCTTAACACAAAGTTCAAAAAAAGATGAAGAAATCAGTTACGCAAAGACCCCAGGAATGGTATACACAGAACGCATAGAGCAAGATATGATTTATAGTCAAACAGCGAACGTCAACTGGTAAAAAATTAAAAATGCTTGAAAATAAGCGGTTGATGTTTAGTCAAGTCAAGTGGAATAGCGCATAATTAATGTGAGAAGTCACGCCCAAAAGAGAGGGTAAGCTACATGAGGCGACATTCAGAGAAATATCATAGTGAAATGTTGGAGAATCAGCTTAAGTGAGGAGAAATTGTCCGGGTAAGTCATCGGATATATTGCTGGCGTGTGAGATCACCTTAGAAGTGGTGGTTTAGCACACGAAATGAAAAAGGATTCATTCACCGACGCTTAGTTGGTCGCCAGGCATATAACAGTTCCATCCGTTCAAGCTTTAAGGAAATCATGAGTCACGAAATGGCCCCAAGTGAATGCAGACATAGCTGATGCTCAGCACATTTCGTACTGGGGTTACATAAGAGTAACAAGATCTAAATAGTATATTCTGAAACCAACGAAGGTCGACGATCACCACAAGTGCAGAGAAGCACCAGATGGTTGTTTTATTCTTTCGAGGACCGCCAATAATACGCATTCTAGAGGGGTGGCAATCATCCGACCGTCCGTTCTGATGGAATCAACCTACACTATACAAACTGTCCTGTTAGTCCCATGCAACCAGTACACATCGCAAACAGCCTATAATTCCGTTAAATGAATAGCGACTTGGGTTTGATAAATTCGCTGCTCAGTAAGGGGGTTAACCTTTCCTCCGCAGGGCAGTTACATTCAAGCTAATGAATAGTGAGCTCTGGAGGACATGGCGCGGAATCCGGCAAAATCGGTGACCCAGAAGGTTGAAACGCCGGTGTCTGGTGCTTTTCCAGACTAGCCTAATACTGCTGATTGGGAATGATGATGATGAATTAGCTGAACAATCGAAGATTGCATGAGCTTACGCATTGGTTTTACTTACCAAAGCTGTACTCCCTAAACGGAAGTAAGTCGAAATGGCGTGTTGAAAATTTTGCTGCCTGTCTACCATTTTGTTAGCTTCGCATTTATCATACACATTTCTTCCATGATTCTCAAAGACTATATGTCCATTACATATATATATATATATATATATATCAAGCAACAAAGTTTACGGAAATGTAAACAGATGAACGTGATGCAGAGCGGCAGTGCAGTGTCAAAAGCAACCTGAAGTCAGTTAAATTTGTTTGGCCTAGTTGAACGGAGAGAGCATAAGATATGAGAGTTCAATCTAAGCATCAAGCGTAAGATAGCATCACTGACTTAGACCAAGAGCAAATCACACTGTGGTATACCGAGGAGAGCGTAGCCAATATCATATCGTGTCACAATTGCAAGACACAACCCATCGATCCAAACTAAGAGGAGTCAGTGAGTGCACATGATTGCACAGCGCAGCACGATGACAGGAGCACTCAAGTGAAGTCACTGAAAGCCACTGCGGTAAGGTGAGAAAAATGGACGAAAATCAATGAAAGTACCCAATGTATGAGCAATGAAATTTTGTGAGATCAAAACAGTTGATTCCATTATTTAGTGCCGTGATTAAGGTGGGATGCCGTGACTAAAAACAATGATAAGTGAAATGCTATGTGGTAAATTTCCAGAGAGTGGCCCATACGGATGGTGTGATAAGCTGAAAATCAGCAGTAACTGACAGACCAGATATGAAACCCCCAATTTCACGTGTCGGTCAATGTGGGATGAGGCGCACTAATTTGTCCCGACACCATCTAAATGCTATGCTGCGTGCAGTTGCGGCTGTGGGAGGAAGTCGTGACTACAGGGGCTAGTCATTTCCTCAGCAACGTCAGTAAGCAACATGGCAGTTGGGGATGGGTCTGACTGTGTCGTAGTTAGCTCGCAAGTAAACGGATTACCGCTGTGAACCGTGACCTAGGGGTATAAGTTGCTCGCTACGGTGGAAATGACTAATGTCAGGATGGCATCGGTCCGGTTCCTACATTGGTATGCAACAGCCTGGTCAGGGAGTAAAGCGTGCAACACAGTATACATTTTACAATGATGTAAACTGAGTGCGAGGTCACGAAGATTTATTCATAGAAGACAGGGACATGAATGTCTTAGATGGCTGCATAGAGCTAAGGCTAGTGTTCAATATATAGAGCAAAGTTCAACCAGTTGTGGCACTATGCACAAATCATTGAACAGTCGGTGAAACTTCAAACCAAGTACGACTCTAAATGCTAAGGTAAAATCGATACTACGGTGATATACGCGAATCTTCCCAACGGTTCATGAAAAGGCTCCAGAAGTTTGTAATGGCTCCTAAGCGCAAAGTGATGCTATTTGTAAGCAACTTAGCCGAGTGCGAACGCTATGAAGGCTGGGTTTCCGAGACTGGGCATCACAGTGAACGAGCCAACCGTTACAGACACTAGACCAGTAAATTGCGAAACAGTATGAGGAGATGAACAAGTACACAATTCAACTAATGGGATTATGTCGAAAAGCACATAAAGTTTGTATTATAGATCAAAATGGAGAGGTGTCAAAACAAAGAAAATCAGCCAATTGCCTATGGCACGACCGTGGTTTAGAAAAAGAAAAGCAGATTTCAAGATCGTTATTTTAGCCAGATTACCTCAGCAAGTGATATGTGTCAACAACCGTCTGCGAAAGTTCGCACTGCAAACAGGATACCAACCATGTAGTGTCCGGAAAGCCACAAGTTAGTTTACCGCTGAAAAAGTTCCGTTTTCGGAAGGTCAAAATGAGAAATAAAAATCATGGGAAAAATGCGCGTATTCGTGGACTCATCACGTCATTCGCACAAAACAAGTTATGACTCCGCCTCTATCGATTGTATGGGGAAGTTGAGGGGCACACTGTGTATTAGTTTGGGTCATTTGCCGATACGCTCGAGCTGTATCACATAACAGATGGCATGCTGCGTCATCCACTTGACAAGGACACCGATAAGAATGATGCGGTCGACGTCATGGACATCGATAACGTCTGTTTTGCACACCAGAAGTTTTCGGTCCAAGTTGTCTTTGTATATGGAAAAAACGCATAAGGTTTTTAAGTAATTCCGAAGTTCAGCCTCCAGTGCAACGAGCTCGTGGTCCTGACAATATTACAATATGTATTTCATAAGCTATCCCATACACAAGATGACTTTCTGTAGGGAGTTTGGAGAATAAAGCCAACCAAACGTCCAACACAAGAAGCAAACATGTTGATATTGAACCCGTACCCGAGGACACTCATGGGTGATGCTGTGCAGACAGATATTATTTGGCTGATCATATATGTGGGCCATTTTGTACACATCTGCGTCCAACTAGGGTAGATATCTTAATAAGTCCAAGATGCGTTACGGGGGGATGGGAACTCACTTTGCTTTCAATGTGATACTGCACAATGTAAGGCGTTATATCCAACGGTATCCAACGCATGCCTAAATTCTCACGGAACGAATACCCCGGAGGTAGTGTTGCCAACCGCATTTCGTTCTGCAATCAGAATGGTAAGATATTCATCTCACACGGTATAGTGCAGGGGAATCGGTATAACACAGAATGAAAAGCAATGCGTAAGACGAGTTCGGTGGACCGAATAAGCAGTGCAAAAGAGTAAAAAAACATGCAATCAAAGCGAAGCAATATGAATTGCTTCACGCCTCAAGCATTTGCTGGCATACGGATCGATAAAATTAGAGTGAAGCGCGGTGAGGAAAATGGGCAAACAAACGCGTCTTGAGCTGAACGCTTCCACCGAAACAATTATAACAAGTATACAATAATGACATTAGAGTAATGCAAGTGGAACGAATGGAAGAACATAGAATTTCAGAAACGTGTGTGCAAACAACAGCTGACTCGTGAATGTCTTGCAGCTGCATCAGGTCATGCGAAACACAGTGCGTGGTGAAATCCAGTGACAAGAGAGAGATCACGGAAGCGTGAATAAGGGGGTGGTGATACACACAGTTTGACGTTTCTTCAAAAGCGCAAAGTGATCAACAACTCGGGCGGTTCGCTACACATTATTTGGACACAGTTCATACATAAGATCGCTGTGAGTGCACCACTCCCGTGCTTTGAACGGAATGATCAGTGTCCAGAACAGTGGATGCAAACTCGGTGCAACAGTTCAAACCATTGCTGTATTTTTATTTCTTCCCCATTAGATTTGGAGAACGACTGCCTCAGTGAAAAAGACACCTCACGTTTGGTGAGTTCCGCGTTACTGTGAGTCCGACATACGTGGTTTGTCCGAAACGTAATGTTAGTGAGTGGACTAAAAACCACTAGTGCAGCTGATCGGTACAACACATTAGGATTCAAAATAGGCTCCACTTGCGTCGATATGCTGCATTTTGGAATGTCCTTTGGAGCTTTGGTGCAAGTCTCTTTGAGTTAGGAAACTGCCCCGAAATGGTGTCCTTTTGCAGGAGATTTCAAGCGGCAGAACAAGAATAAGTCTGAAAGAGACAAGTCAGGACAACAGGGCAGCTGCGGAACTGTTGACACCATTAAATCGGTCAGGAAGCGAGTCACGCGCAAGGCGGTGTAGGCTGGCGTGTTGACATGATGAAGTGTACAATCGTCCGCGATGTCAAACGAAATGCGATGAACCATTTGGTTGTTTATTGAGTACTTCCATATAAAATTTAGCGTTGACGGTGATATCTTGTGGCATAAACTGAGAGTAAACGAGCCCCCTGATGTCAGAAAACAGTGAGCATGGTCTTGATCCTTGGCTTCCTCATGCAAACCTTCTTGCGGCGGGGTGACGCCGAGGTGTGCTGGGTAGCACACTTCGGCGTCCACACCTGTGATGACAACGTCTAAAAAGTGGGGGTCACTGTCACAAGGTCCAAAGTTCTTGGCACGTTTAAACTCAATGCGATTTTCTGTCATCGGTTAACACATTGGGCACCAGCATCGCGCACACTTTCTCATCTGCAGATTGCTGTCAGAAGAACAGTACTTGTGGAATGTTTGATATTTGTAATATTAAACGAACACTCAAACAACGATCTGAGTTTAACATTTCAGTCACAGACGTCACATTTTCGTCGGCGGCTGTTGTTGATAGCCTTCCAGTGCGCGCTTCAAAGATGACTTCCTCACGTGCCGCCGGCTGACTTAACGTTCTGATAGACAAATATCACCAAAGACCGTCTTTATTATGAGAAAAGTTTCCACTGCAAACTTGGCGAGTGGCACACAAAACATGATGGAAATCCTTTGCTCTATCCAGGGCTGTTTGGCAGCTTGCACGGGAGGCGAAAACAAATTTCACGAAAATGATCGTCCTTACTCGGCGGATGGTCGCAGACGACTGAGCGATTTTACGTGCATAAGCTGACTCCTCCTTTCACCTATCATAATCAACCCGAACGTGTTACGAGGTGTATTGACTGACATTACTTTTCGGACAACCCCAGAAGGTGTGATACTGCACGAAAACTTGAATAAATGAGTAAAGCAGTAGCATTAACATATAATTGGTTATTTTAGCATTTAAATCACATATTCGGGAAGTTGCTCAGACTTGAACCTATACTTGCTCGCATAATACAGGATTAAGAATGCACAAATAACAAGGCATGAGCAGCGCGTAAGCTATCCAGCTTTTCGTAGGGTAGAACGATGAACACAGCACAGAGAATGTGGATAGTAGTGGTGCGCATGACAGGGTAATGAAGAACAGAAGCTCACCGAATAGGTGAAATACACAAGCCCAGATGGACAAATGGTGGTGTTTAACGGAGCGAAGCTGCCCATGATACCATCGATCGAGTGGGTGAAGACGCGGATATGGCCGGTGTCTGTGCTGAACAGCCACATAGGGCAGGCACCACAGACAAAAACTCCCCTGTGTCCGTCGATGTCCTCAAATGGTCGAAGCATGTTAGTCCGATTAAGCAATGTGGACTGTGAAGAAAGCAGAAAAAAGGAATGTATCATGGAGTTGATGCGCGATAAGACAAACACAATCAGTTTGTGAGATACTAAGTTAATAACTAAGAAACACTAGAAAGGCTTTGAGGTCGGCAAAAACAAGACGGCATCCAATATATATATATATATATATATATATATATATATATATCTGTATTCGCTGTGATTAGTGAACACTCCCCGGCCCCCCAGCACGTACCGCTTAGACTGGCGATGTCCGCTTCCCAATTTGGGTTGACCTTTGCTCTCTCTAAATGTAAGGTACTGTTACAGGACTGGCCAAGTGCATCTCCTTCCCTCACCCTTTCGTGGCATCCGCTGGAAGTGGTCGACAAATTCATTTACCTTGAAAGTTGGTTAGCTTTGGCGGTTTAACGGATGTGATCTCCCTGCATCTTTTCAAGGCTAAAGTAGCTTTCGCTAAACTTCATACTTTGTGGCTTCATCATGAACACAGCCTCGCTCTCAAGGGACGAGTCTACAATGCTGTGATATGAGCGATTCTGCTGAAGGGCTCTGAAACTTGGCCCGTACGTAAAAGTGATGTTCAGTAGCTATCTGTCTTCGATTACCGCTGCCTGCGAAGCATTGCTGGTGTTCGATTGCAGCATCCCAGCAGTGATGAGGAACTGCGTCGGCGAGTCTTCAAATCGGACAAACACCGCCGACGGATTGACAGCATCATTTCACAGCGAAGGCTTTGTTGGCTTGAGCATGTGATTCGCATGCCTTTCCAGCGGCCACCACGAGGTGCTCCAGTTGCGAGCGAAGACGTAATATGAAAGCGACGACAAAGAGGCTAGTGCAAAACTTGAATACAGTGCGTTAAGGCGCAAACCTCGAAGCCGACCGCAGTTGGTCGTTTCTGACCCCTGAGTAGGGGATAAAGGACCTTGAGCACATCCGGTTGAGAAGGTTATTGGAGATGGCCAAGGACCGTACGCAATGTCCTACATGTTGTGAGACTCTTCTTCTCTAACAGGCGTCTTCCTTTTCAAGTTACTTTTTCTCTTATGTATTGTGGCACTCGGCCAATTGTTATGTGATTGTTAGTGTTGAATATATATATATATATATATATATATATATATATATATACATGAGAAGCAGGAAAGAGAGACGAAAGCTGGTGGATGCATGTATTTCGTGTTGTCTCTTCAGTACCATTAACAATAACCGATAGGAAGCACCTTCGAAGAAAGCGGACACAACGCATCGGTAGTGCTGGATTTACCAACTGACGAGGAAACGGTATCATTCCACTCGCACGTGCAGCGAATCACAGGAAAACGGTAACAGGAAAAGGAGCTAAAACCGAATAAGCTGGTCAGCCAAGTCAAGTCAAGTTCAGAGTGGAATTTCCGAAGAAACCTAGCGGTAGGTTCATAATCTTTTATCATTTTAGCTAGATAGAACTATGCCTATGTATAAAAATTCTGTTACCCTTAGTCAAGATAAACAGTTTGATCTAGAGATGCACTTTGAAAATTAACGCACAAGTGGCTGTATTGGTGTATACAAGAAAAGAAATGCTGAAAAGTGTAAGGCCTACACGGCTCAAACCTGTTACCAGTGTCGGACCCACACAATGACAGCCAGGAAGTTGCTGACAAGAGGGTAGTTAGAGGAGCTAGAAGCACTGAGGGAAAACGAGGAGGTTATACTTTGTTACGGCCAGATCAAGGTGAGCGATAGTTGTCAGGGACAGAACCGAATAACGACGTAAGATGAGTGTTTTACTTGAGGATCCAACAAAGTGTATGAAAATGTTCAATGAGAAGGATGTTCAAATGAGAAGGATAAAGTCCATATCTAAATCTCTCAGAAAAATGAAACAACAAGGGCTGATCAAATGCCTAATATTCGAAAGAATTCGTCCCGTCAGCACCGGTATCCCCAGATTGTAGGGATTAGTGATGATACATAAAGGCCACTTACGAATCATACTAGATATAAGTATCCCCGTATCATACGTTGGCAAAGTGATTGGCCAAACTACTGGGGCTTATGGTCTGCGTGACACATTGGAGTCCGTCGACAGCATTAGAAGTTAAAATGTGGATAACACGAGGCTTTTTCGCTCGATGTGACGTCGCTGTTTACTAATATCTCCCGTGAAGACACTATCGATTACCTTGTCAAATACATCGAGCAAACTGGCCTGCTGAGGAAAGAACTGAAGACATTGCTTCATCAGTGTAGCCACAAGGTCCAATTTCGCTTTGTCGGATAGGTTTACCGACAAAAAGACGGGATACCTATGGGGTCACCATTGGGTTGCTTGTTCGCTGATGCTTATGGATAAATTAGGGAAGAATCTGCTAAGTGAAATGATTGGGCGGCTGCCACTCTGAAAACACTATGTCGATGGGGTGATGTGCATAGCTGACGGCTCCGGAAATGCAATCAGGCCTACAGGAACATTCCGTTTCGCAAGCAACCCGAAACAAATAAAGGTCCGGCTTTATTGGATGCTTAAATGTCACCTCGAGCAGATAGCTCCCTGTGCCGTAGAATTCACAGGAAGACGACATGGATAGGCTAATATACGCACCTCGATAACTTTGTGTCAGCTGAGCAGAAAAAGAACCTAGTCCCATATATTGTCGGAAGAGCAATGAAAACATGCTCCGAGGGCGCAACTGAAGCAGAGCGCGCTAAAATAAGAATCGAGTTCGGTAGTAACGGCCATCCTGAGACTTTCATTGACAAGAATGTGTGAACTGACTGTGGAGTCACCGAAGTATTCACAGTAAGAAAGAAACTAGTCTACTTATCGATAAAATTCAAAGGAAACAATAGTTCCGAACATCTTAGCAAACGATTACGATTGGCCGTCATTATCCTCTACGGGGCGACACAGTTACGCATTATCTTCACTTGCACGCTCATGCTACACCTCCAGCTGAAGGACAGTGTCCGTGGGTATCACCTCATTCTGTGTGTTTCAATTTACCCGTCCCTGTGGGATGACGTTACACAGGTCGCACCACGAGACTTGTCTGAACGCGTCCGCGAGCACCAACCGGCGTGGTTAAACTGAGGAGTGAACATAACGTGCACCGCCGCAATAGTCGCGCACCTAGTCCAAACGCATCATCCCGTCGTTATGACTAAAGCCTTCCGCCCTATCTACCGTGTGAAGCGTGTCCCTTCCGAGTTTATCGAATGTCGAATCCTCGCATTGGCGGATGGGATCGCGATTCGTCTCAGCGACCCTCTATTTTGTGTACATAAGCAGTTCATCAAGCATGTGGCTATACTATGGACAGCTGTCGTGCGGCCAGCTTCCATCTAAACAAGTCATACCCATTTTGAGTATTTTGACACCTTTATTTTCTAGTTGCTTACTGCAGCATTCTTAACGGCTTAAATATGTTGTATTCAGCTGGACAATGGACTTAGAGAGGCTTGTTACGTTCGACCATCGCCGTCTTCGCAGCATAGCTTAGGTCTGGTGGGAACACCGCGTGACCAAAGAGCGTGTTCGGCGTCGTGTATTTGGTACAAGAAGAGCAAGTGAACCGCTCAGCACCCTTATATCATGCACCATGCTCCGATGGTTGGGTCATGTGTTGTGCATGCTAGCGCATCGACTCCCGCGTCGTAGGTTGTTTGCGCACCGGGTATGTGGATGGAAGAGGATGAGGGGTGGCCAAGAGGAGTTGGTCAAGAGGAATGAAGTTCAGACTTCGAACTTGGCGCCAGCTGGTGTCCCCCGACTGCCACACTGGGGTTCCAAGGATGAGGAACACGTTTGGACGGATACACTGGTTTATGTGGCTAAGGACCGACCATAATGGCATTTGTGTTCTGAGTTTCGTTGTATCGTCCATACTCGCTTCCCTCTCCAACAATGCCCGTGGCGGACCTGTACGCTATCGAGCGCGTCCCCAGGTTGTGGATTGCCTTACTTGTGGAGGTCACTGCGAATAAATCTCGTCTGATTTCCAGGCGGGATGAATAAGCAGTCGCGGACCATCAGCGGCAGCGTTTGAGAGCGTGGGGAGTTCTGGGCTAGTCACGTGGTTCTCCATCAAATGCCAAGAGAGCTCGTACGGCGCTGTGTCAAAGCCAGTGTGACAGGCTATATGGTCACTGACTACTCACTTCCGTAACCAGAGGTGAGTACTTAACGGAGAGCGGATGAACAACCTTGCTGACCACTGGCTTCTCGGTGGACTGCTACTGAACACAAAGAAGGCGAAGGAGCCATCCGGATGTCAACGGTCTTCGTTAATCGACCCTTTGCTTTGCGGGTCCGGTATTTATGACCAAAGGCTCGAGGTGGGGTCCATTAATTCAACCCTCTTCCTCGGGCTGGGCAAACGGTAAGCTCACTGACCACGCAACACATGAGCCGTCATAACCTTCTCACCGCCGGTTTATTTTTCTCTTTTTTGTTGTTTTTGCGCATGTGCTGTGGCACTGTGCCAGTCTTAAATACACACACCAACAACGATCAGATTAGATTACACTTAGCATTACATTGCTTGCTTTTTTAGTTTATGTGTTCCGTAAGGTTTAGTATCTCGCTTTCGCACATATATCTTATGTATTGCGACACAGTTAGCTGAAGTGTGTTTCTCACCTTCAACTAATGTACGATGAGGATGACGATGACAGCCTGACGATGAAACGCAGAAAACGAGCTTGTTTGCTATACCGTCTATTCATGACGGAAACGGAAATTATTAACTAGTTGAATAACCGAGATGCCTATATGTATCTAACACAGGATGAGACCAGATAAGATTAAGGTGCAGAATACATAACGAAAGTTCATAATCAAAACCAGAAATCGAATTGTGGGTGAAGAATTCTTTTCGGGTAAAATCTCATCAGACCCATACGTTTACATGGTGGAATAGGGGTGGAAGTGCCGATAGATTCAATAGCATTAAGTCACAGATATGGAGAATGTACCCAGTCAACAAATGGAATAGTAGGTAATAATCACTCTAAAAGAAAGAAGATGGACTATCATAATGATAATCAAATAGTTAAGTAAAGTGCTCGTTTGTCAAGGTAACAAAACGGTCCGCACATATTTCTTTTGCACACAGAACTCAGGTTTTAAGTGGCGAAGGTATATGGCCAATGCAATAGAGAGCAATTGTTTGCGGAAGCATCGTGAGTAGCGTTGAGGCAGACTGGAGCACTTTAAAGTCGTTCGCCGGTGTTGCATGACCGTATTCAAGATGTGACAAAATCGGGCTGTTAGAAGACTTCATTTTACCTCTGAAGAACCACCTTGGTATTTGCTCGCGGATCCTCTGGGACAAACACATCGAAGTGCGGCCGACATAAGGTACTTCAAAAGAACACGAGTATTGATACACAAGCATCGATCGAGCCAACGATGGTAGTTTATCTTTCAAGGGTTTGGCAAGCAGTGGCTTATTGTAATAAACTATTCTCAAAAGAGCTGCAGAATATCCCAGCACAACAGCGACTTTTAGGCGTCGGGATAATACATCAGCAGGTGTATCGCCCCTGAATGGTAAATGCATAAAAAGTTTTCTTCGGTTTTGAATATGAACAATGAAAAGGGAATATTTAGCCTGCTGAAGGTCAACGAAAGTTCGGTGCAATGTCCAGGGTAGCGTAACGCTGACAAATAATTGATTTCCACCTGTATCCATCCAATTGAGATAGCCTCGGCAAATCTAAGGAAACGGGGAATGGCGTGACGGAACATAACGCTGAGAAGAGCTTTGTCCGGTGATAGGAGCCCATTAGATGCTTGCTTATCGGGGAAGCGGCGGCCTACGCAAGGACGGAAGTTGAAGGGGGAAGGAGTTCTGGGCAGTTTCAGAATGGACTCATCTCGGCACATGTCTCTTCAATCGGGAAGTCAGTCCTATCGGTCCTACCAATGTAACAGGCTCCGAAGTTACACACAAAGTAGTATACATAGTGTAAGATAGCTAAGCTTCCCTCGTTTTAGATACGGGCAAATTTCGTGTTCGGTTAGTGATCACAACTCGTGAAGCATAGCAGCTTATATGCGTGGTAGAGATTATACTCTTAGCTGTCTTCGGCGTGGCTAAGTCACCTTTGAAAGGTAATTCGATATACACTTTCTTTTTGGCTCCCGCGTGCACCAAATCGCTTTTCCCTCACGGTTGGCTCTGTTTCTCGATAAATCTTCGAGGGTGGCCGTTCGCAATTAGTGTTTCTGTAATTAACATTAGCACATTGGCGAAACAGTCGGCCGAACAAATTCGTCTGGCACGACTAACTAGAGTCTTCACAGGCGCCCGTTTTATAACGCACTGGTGTGAAGCTGGTGAAGTGCAGATACTGACCGGAACAAGTTGATTTTCGGCAAATGGGCCTCTGAATTAATCGATCATCCTTACGACTGATGAGTGTGTCCAAATATGGTAGACAATTGTTCTGTTTTACTTCGCAGTAGACCCGTAAGTTAACATGTGCTTCGTTAAGGAGCGCTTGGCAATCGTGTCCTGTTTGCTTCCATTTTCGAACCAAAAGGTTTGCCAAAGTGTGTATACACCTGAGCTACCTGGGCCTTAGATTAATTAGGAAGTGGGGCAGTGAAAGTCGTTAAGGAACGGTCTCGTCGAAATGACTAGATACCAAAACGAAAAGCAGATATCTGATATCATGTGTTACCGTCCTTGGTGAGAGTGGCTGAGCCCCACAATGGGTGCTTTTACGTCCAGCTTCTTATGGATCACCAGTTGTCAAAAGATGCAATTTTGCCAGTATACCCGGTAACCGATTACCGAGTAGGGTCTCGTTTCGTGTGCCAGATGTAGGGTAGCGTAATGTCCGAGATGAGCAAAAGTTAACTTAGCAACAGGAAATGAAGCCAGTGACTACAAAACTGGCTGCTTTTGATCCGTCTCACCTTCGAGGCTGGAATCCACGTGACCCTCCTTGTGCTTAGCTTGAGACGTTACAGGACATGTCTCGCAGTCGACAACAGTACTGCGCATGCTGCCGTTTCCTAGTCGGACTGTATGCTTAAAGTGTGTCCGATGCTAAGTTATGTGCGGAGTAATTGCTGATTATGTCGCGGGGCATTATAAACTGCAAGGAAGCTGTTCCGGTAATGCAGTCTTATATTTGCATGACAGCTAGCTATTTGAGACGGTTTGTTGTTGGCAAGATGCTTGCTTAAAGCATAAGGTCTGACGCTACGTCCTCCATATCTCCTTCTCATTATTCCTCGTTCTGTAAGTCACTGCGGTTGTGCAGTAGTGAATCATCAATTGAGATGGCTGATGTACTGCCACTGATGATGACGGCGATCGTGATGATAGCAATACAAAGGTACGTTCATATATGGTCTATAACAATGGTGGCGAAGTACTGTCGGAAGGAGCACTGAGTTGTCCCATAGGACAATCAAAGCGTCGCCTACAAGACAAAGAAAAAGAAGTGTCTCAACTCCACATTTCCACCGAGGCAACCATGGCATGGATGTTCAGTACAGTAACGTTCATTGAAACAGTGCTCGAAGTCGGTTGCGGGAACAAAGAGAAAGGTGCTGGCCGAAAATTTCCATTGCCAACCTCTTTTGCTTGGGAGTCACAATGCGATATGGGTTTGTACAATGTAACTGTCAACTGGAAAATATGGTAATGTAAGAAGAGCTAGGAGCGCTCAGGATTCTGAAAGCGAAGAAACAGTAAGAGATGATGCAGATGAGTCGGAGATACGGTGAAGTTAATTTAAGGTCTTTTTCATAAATCCGCAGATGACAGACTAAGTATACAAGGGGTCTGATGATCCAACAACTCGGTTAGCTAGTCTCTTGGCTACACGCATTGCCGCAGTTGCGGAACCGCCGAGAAGCTGGGGCTAGAAGAAGTGTTCATCGACTTAAACTAGACGAACACAGCATTTAAGTCTAAAGTATGAATGACACCTGATGTGCAACAGTGCTAGGAGGTTAGCAGTATCGCATCCGAGTTTCAAGCAAGAGAGAGCTCTCTTCTCAGTTGGGAGGATTTCGATAAACTATGGCCAAATAATGGGTCGATGAGAGGATTTAGTGTGGTGATTAGTCGGACTATTGGGCCAAGCGGGTTCGCCCGTGCTTATGCACGTCAAGCAGCTAACCCAATGACGGATGAAGTTACTGACGAAACGCGAAATCTGATTAAACGAGCAACTTACAAGAGTGGAGATGATGTCTGAAGGACACGTTCCTGGTAACTGAATTAAGCGGACTTAATGCCGTAACCATAAACCACAGTTCCAATCGAGAATGCACAAAGAGGAATGTAAGGTGACAAGATACCTGTAGTTAAGCCACTCAGACCACAACACACCCAAACAACGGGACCTAGTGAGGCTGCAGGTATGCGAATGAAAGATATGATATACGCATACCTGGACGTCGGCGATTTTCGGATCGGATCGAATGCGTCTTGGTGCGATAAGAGGACATGGAATTGGCAAGCGACGCCAGCGGAGACCTTCCACAGTCCTTGAGGTCGCGACGGAAGCATACGCCTCGCCGGGTGGTGGGCAGAGAGCCTCGAAGAACGCCACCTCTTGGCTGGTGCGAGCCTAGGTTGATGAACGAATGAGAGTTAGTCTCGAATTCGAATAAATGAGGTTAACATGTGGAGCAGAGAAGCAGTGTGATCGGGCCAGGCATATGAGTTAAAATAGGAATTTGACCCGGGTTTCGAACAGAAAATAAAACAGAAATACTTCACTGTAGTGAATCACCGTTGGGATGAAAATGGAGGAAAAGCCAGACGAGTAGCCGTAATACACAAAGTAGCGGAATGGTAGAAAGGTGAAAGAGCAACAGAAATGCGGAAAATTGTGTAAGCACCACAACAGAGGATCGGTAGCTGCACGGGCATGGGTCATTAGTGCAGATGATTCCTGTTATACGATTCGCACGTACGATATCCTTCCCATGTACCTGCTGCTTTTCATGCCAAACTCACATTCCAACTTCCTTGCCTCTTAGGAAACTTCGAGTCTTCGTTTACTACAACTGTACAGTTCAGTTCCGATTAGCAATTGTGATGCGCGCGTCGAAGTATGACACAACAAACCATACTGATTCGGGTCAACAACTGGCTTTCTTCGAAGTACGTGTACTCGGCGGTCTTATTCGCATGAACAGAAGTGCTGATTGATGGTTCCCAACTGGATTGAAAGAGTACAAGCTGAGATGAATACAGGAATTAGCCAACGAAACGCAGCCATCTTCTCCAGTGAAGTATGTTTAGCCAGGAGAATTCCGCTGCGAAAGACGTGCGGCAAGTTCTTGTTGACCACACACTTGAACCTGTGTCTTACAATGGCTGAAGTAGTAACCATAAGATTTGTAATAACACTAGCTCACGAGATGCGTTTATTTCATTAGAGATTGTCGAAGTAGAACAGAAACAACTGCTATCTACATTAGAGATAGAAAGGGAGATAAACCCATTTTATGTTGAGAACGAAATAAAGCGGATTAAGTTGCGGCTGAAATTGGAACAGGGTCATACAGTATGCCATTACAACTTGGAACAAGCAGGGAAAAGTATGAATCTTAGGAGCTGTATCGATGATACCGCTCATGACGTAAGTACCTGATTTAATTTGCAACGCACTTTAGGTCCATATTTTGATGCTTCTCCTCAAGGAGGCGTGATGAATATGCGCATCACTACTCAAAGAAGTTGCACGCCTCTTCGAACTAGTGTTTACCATCATGACAAGTTAAGTTATCGTGTTTCTGCGCATAAAGCATCCATTGTCCTCGTGAACGAGTATCGAATCCGTCACCGCGTTGAATATGTCCTCCGTAAGCCTTGATATTGATTGGCACCTAGGGAATACTACTGAGTTTACTTGGTTTGATGTGATGGATGCGGAATTTCGCGAGGAAGCTTCCTCGAAGTTGGTTTATTTCTGTTAGAGTGCTTGAAACTCGGAGGATGTGTGCTATCTGTCATGCTAATAATACGGGCTCATTCCCAGAACAACTTAGCCTAACTGAAGACGAGGTTTCGAGCAGATGGTCAAGTTAAGACTATGGCATAGGTCCAGAGGATAACCCAAATCAGTTGAATATTATTTCAGCGAAAATTTAGACAGGTAGTAATCTTTCAGCCATGCAACACCTAGTTGATTACATTGTCTTTGCCTATGGATCGCCGACTACTCTCGCTCGAGTTATCTGTATCGGCCGCGGCAGGCGCATGGGAAACTGTCAATTTCTGCTAGCTCCAGACGGGAACAAATGAACGGATCTCGCTGGTAACGATTTGCTCACCAGGCGGTGATATGTGTCTAAGTCGACTTAGGTATTCAATATGTCATATCGGATGCTCCCTTGTTGCCAGTTTGCCATGATCGTTTCAAGTTCATTGGAATGAAACGAAATACTAAGCATCCCTCCAAATGAAATCTTGAGCTGTATAGCTGAAGACAGTTTGATGTAACGTACTTGAGCCTGATGTTGGAACGATCTATTATGAAGCGATTAATGGGATAGGGGTCCGTTTTGGTTGTTGACTCTCCGCACGTAGGAGGTGGGTCTTCGGAACTGCTGCCTCAATAAGGAGCACTATTAGCTCGACAAGCCGACGTGGAGGGGTTCAGGCGTACCGTTGAATGTCCAGCGCTCCACCACACCGGTGGCAGCAGATTAGGGTAAATCAGAGCATGTACAATACAACCGTTGAAAAATCATATCCGAATTTTGCTGCGCAGTACAAGAAGCATTTTGGGACGGTTCCGTTTGACCCCTTTATCCCAATCTTGCCATAGTCCAATCATTGAAAACGCAGTCCCCAAACAGTCCTTCTGTTCCTTCTTGTACTGACAGATTCACTTCTCTTAATTACCTGTGATATCCTAACCACACCCTTCGATAAGTCGTTATCTCTCCCTGCATGCGTAGCTCAGCTCAGCTTCCCATGACTCAGCCACGTGCTATTACATTCAGCTCCGCATCGACTTCTACTGTTTGGATACCCCTTCTTCCGCACACTTACTACTACTGTTTGTGTGTGCGTATCCGTGACCCATTCGGAGAACGATCCAAGCAAACTGACCTTATTCCACCTTAATGCTCACACAACCTTCGTTCTGTAAGTATGATCAACTGATCCTATCATCTCATCTGTCCTATAAACACGCCGTGCGCTGTGGCGCCGTCACTTTGTACCCCGGTCGCTCTAAAGCATAGTGTTGGCTCGCCAATTTGAGTTGGAAGCGCTGTTGTTGTTGAGGTAGGGCACGTGAACGTTTACGCGTTCGTTACTAATTAATACCATTATCCAGTGCCAGTAGTGATGTTGATTTGATCCGTTGGAAACACGACTTTTATCGTTTACGCCAGCACTATAATATTAAGAGCAATGGTAATTTAAGAGAAATGGGCATGAAATGAACTTGCCAGATGAAGAAATAAAGTATCAGAAATGAGTAAACCAATGCAACAGCGCCACGGACACAAGCATTGTTCCTATAAGTAACAAAAACCAAAGACGAGGTCGATCCATCGGACATCATCCAGTAAGATGAGAAACACCAAGATGATTCGGTCTTTCAATGAATTTCAGGATGTTCGATCTCCATGTCAATGGTGAACCATCTCGAGCATTTATTCGAGTAGACACAGCATCGGTAAACTACATACGGAGGTGCTGGCCATGTAGACACGTACGTAGTCCATCCAGTACAGGAAGATTGAGCTCAACTGAGGTTCTAGTGCCTAAGAGTAGATAAGGAACTTCATCAGTACTCGCTAGGCTAGCCCACTAAACAAGAACAACGTTGTGCAGAGATCGGTGGTCCTCACGATAACACTGGCTGCTACTCTTCAGCGTTGTATATTCTCTCATTAAGGAATGAGTTCAGTTCAAGCTCCATCTGCATAAGTGACTGAGGTTACTAAAGCTGGTACGATAATTAACAGTGCGTTAATCTCCATGGCGATGTCACCACTAGAGGAGATACACATGCCTAAGTAACAGAAACGTTCAACAACTGCGAACGGCTGTTCCATGATTGCAAGACTGATGGCGTGTTAGCCCAGTAGTGTGGCACTACTTCGTACATGCCGAAGCCAACAGTCCTGCGTATCAGCCTATTCAGCTCGCCATGACTCAAACTGCGTTATGTCATTAGGGTATTCAGAGTCTGACAGACGGTAAACTAACAGAACCGCTATCCAACAGGAATCGAAAAGGAGAAAAGCTGATTGAGGATATCATTTTGAAGCAAGCGTTGTGTGAATGGGTTGAGGGGCATAACTATAACCTGGAACGAGATCTATTTTGAAGTGAATTTGGGTTAATCCAGTCTCTAAGACCGAATCTGAAGCCGGTGGATAGTGAGTTATACCAATGTCTTGTATCTGCGACATTTGTGGCGTCAGAAATGGGTCCTCCTCGGTCTGAAAGACCGTGGTTACAAGGCCATGTGGGGGCCGTCTGAGTCAATGGGAGAGAGACTTAGACTCTCTGATCTGAGGCGCCTTCAAGCCCCTGATTAACGCTGCTTGCAAATCACTGCTGATGTTGGATGGCACCTGTGTATCCGCAATGATGACGTGCGTACGCGAGTACTAGGCAGTGATGTAATCAGCCTGGTTGCTTAGAACAACAGAAAACACTGAATATGTTGCGTGGGTTTTGGCACGTACTACCTATGCCTGATCACCGCTTACCGAGGAGGTTCTTGTTTTGTGTGCCAGATGTAGGGTAGCGTAAGGCTCGAGGTGGCCGGAAGTTAACTTGGCAGGGAGAAATGAAGTCACTGACTACAACTCGGCGCGGTTTATCCGTCTCATATTCCAGTATGTAGTCAACGTGATCCGCTTTGTACTTGGCCAGAGATGTCACAGGACATGGCTCGCAGTCGACACCAGTGGCGCGTCTGCTGTTGTTTCCTAGTCGGACTGTCTGGTTGGTTGATGCTGAGTTATCTGCGGGGTACTGGCTGATCAGAACGCGGGGCAGTGGAAGCCTCAAGGAAGCCGTCTTGACAATGTCTCCCTCTTTTGCATGATAGTCCGCTGATTGTGATGGTATGTTGTCGACAAGATGTGTGCGCCTTGACCATGAATGTTTGCTTAGAATATTAAGGTTACACACCAGATCCCATTCTCTCCGTAGCTCACTGTGGTTGTACGGCAGCGAAGCATCAGTTGAAATGACTGATGTACTGCTGGTGATGATGATGATAATGATGATCACGATCGCGTAACACTGTAGCGCTGCAAGCCGGTAAAATCCGCAGGATAAAATCATCCATGATCATTTCAGTGATAAATTTAAAGATGAAGGAAAAGATAGAGCAACCCTTAAGCAGTGCCCATGTCGTGGGCAGTTTTTAGTAGAAGTACACGGCTTCTGTTAACATGCAGTATTTTTAAATTGTTTAAATCTTCACAAAATTGATCACGCTTGGTTGTGACATTGCGGGCAACATTTACGTCATAGAAAAGAGCGTGAAGAACACATCGCACGTATGGCATCGATGCATCATTGTGAGAGTGCAAAGAATAGCTGAACAGTTAACCGCATACGGAGTAGCAAGGCAAAGCGAACCCAAACACTGTGCTCGATAGTCGATAGCTCAATGGCTATAAAGGAAAAGATTTGCAAAGGACACTATGCGCCCCAGCGTAAACCGGCCATGCGAGACACTTAGCAGGTTGTATAAAATCGGAATACATAGCATCACAAATTGTTACATCGAAAGAAGTTGTGCGCGAAAATCGGCTGAAAATATGTAAGACCAAAGCGGACTTAGGTCACAGGGTCGGGGTGACACAGGGACATACCATGAGTATCGGGCGATCCTTGTTCCGGCCTACGGGGAAAACAGTAATCTCCAAAATGGTGGGAGAAATCGTCTCCTCTTCAGTAAGAGGTGGGCTGCGGCGTGGGTGCACGACAAAGGAAATAGTAGGGGGAGTGTGAACAGCCATGAAAAACTTATATGTAGTTCAGTTCAATAACAGTATACCACTTCGATACATGGAACAAAGAAGCATGGCTGGCACTCCCCAACATGTGAAGAAAATAAAAGAGGAAGAGTGAAAGTAACAGCAGTAAAAACAATTGCGTAGGGCTATTCAACCAGCACCTGTGGGTTATCTGCGTTACAGCGTCAGCTTGACGTCAATGCTAATTCGAATGCACGAAACTGGTTTCGTACGTACAAACTGAAGGACGAGAATTGATATGCGGAGGAATTAATTTTCATGCATATTTGCGCAGCTGTGCCAGAACAGCACACTCTTCAAACGACCTTAGTCAGCATGTGCAAATACGCACCGAACAACTGCAGTTGAATAATCAGACCATGGAAAACAGTGAGAAGTGAAAGTAGACATAGTGGGAGCAGTGCAGTCAGTCGGTGGCCAGTCAAACGCGGTACACGACGATAGACAAGATGTAGGTCAATGTGTGCTGAGCCAAGCAAGCCCACTAAGATTAATTTGTTAAAAGCTGCGGCATGACGTTTATCAGATATATTCAAGAATCATCTAGTGTGAATGAGAAAGTTTTGAGAGTTGTGGCCGGACCATCGTCCTCTTTGACGCATCCGCAGGATAGCTATGTAACTGACAAGCAAATGCAACGACAATGGCATGCAAGGAAAATGTTAATTCCGATTTATGGTATAGAACCCTATTCATTTATGAAGAGTAGGATGCACAATGTTTAGCTTTTCAAAGAAAGTTCATATACTCCTCCAGTACACAATGTTCTCTGGTTATACTGTTCCCCAGTTATTCTATCCGGACGTCTTCAAAAAGATTATGTTCTTGTCCGTTATTTATTTTTGGTTGCGTTGGATTAAGGAAAGAACCGCTCGTTGATCTTATCGTTAACATTTTGATGCATGCAACAACTTTTCATCCAGGATTTCAAACAACGACTCTCACCATTTACGCACTAGCATGGCGAGTATTATAACTATTTCTTCTACCCATCTCGTCACACTGCATTCTGCCTTGTCTGTTACGCTTACCAGTTGACCCATTAGGAATGAAACACCGATTGTGTGACCGTACGCTTGATTGAAAACGCACATCGTGTCATTACCACCTGGCTTCATCTTCTCATTAATGTTTTGTTGTAATACATCCGCAGTGCTAGTGTAGAATGGTGTAGATGCGCAAATATGGATATATAAAGCTTATTTTGACTTTATCTGATGTAGTCGGATGAGTGGTCGTAATGATGACTGACACAAGAGATCATAGTGACTATGGTGATGCGCTGTGTGCAGAGTGGCGATACAATGACCTACAGCAGTGGTTCTTAACACCAAAGGGGTAAAATGGAATTTTACGGGGGTGTAAATATAAGTGCGAGGATTGGGTCATTAATCTGTCACCGAACAAAATTAATAACAAAAGCATATGTATCAAAGCAGGTGACTAACTACCTATCAGTATTGATTAGCCGTCAGCGACTAATCAATGCTGAGTGGTCAGTGAATTAGACGATTTTCGGTAATAAACTTTGTTGCCTAAAATAGGTATATAGGCCTGCAAAGCAGCGCAGCTATATGACGCCTCTATTGGCTCGCTCCTTGATCATTGTTCTTTTTGGTCATGCAATCGTTTTCCGAGTCCAAGTACAGAGTTGAGTAAACAATAAAGTGGGAGCATAGGTGAGGAAGGGAGCAAATGTTTGCAAGGTAGGAGGAACAAAGGTGGCAATTAGTGTTCAAGACGCATCGATACAGGGGTGATGGTGGGAAGCTATCATCCAGGAGGGAGTTGGAAGGGATGGTTGAAGGAAATAAGAAGCCAATGACATTTGTTTATGTCTGATCAAGGATCACACAACAAAACAAGAAACCGAATGGACTTGGAGCACGACTTACGATGTGTAGTAACAGAAATCGCACCGAATATACCATAAATGGTTGGAATTAAGCAATATCAAATGTCTAATTAACGTACATCACCCCTTTATTTAATGAAAATTGCTCAAAAATAGGTTTACTTTATTTAAATGATCGAATATAATCAATAATAGTATTCATTTCCTATAAGGTAAGGCAAAAATTCAATAGTTAACTTTTTAAACTGAAATTGTGTGGGGGCAAATGTTTATAGTGAGCCCGCTCTGTGAGCAACAAAGTCAAAAAGGTTGAGAACCACTGTGCTACAGTAAGTGGCATTCTTACACGCTTAATCATCACGCTCATTTTCACTGCAGCCAGTAACTCGCGTAATTATCTCCTTGCCGATTGTGAAGGCCAGTAGCACGCGTGGGCGGCGTGCTGAAACACAGACTGATGAGGGCGTTGTCTACAGCGTATTTGCTGCGTGGCTGTCATGTAAATACAAGTCAAAAGGTGTAACGACAACCATGTGTGTAAAGTAAGATATCAAACAACCCTCATTAATTGAAAAAAATCCCGTTGATTAACGAGAAGTGGCATAGATACGGTCCCAAAAAGGTGAGGTTGTGTTTAGCTTCTCAAAAATACTTCATATATGCCTCCGGTACGTGCGACATAGAGCACATAACCGTAGATTGTGAAATTTCAATTCTAATCACAAAGCGGGATGAGTGATCGTAATGGTGGACGATAAACGATACAACAAATCACAGTGGTTGTGGCGATGCGCCGTGTGCAGGGTCAATACAAAGGCCTTCTACGGTAAATGACATTCTTATATGCATAGCAATCACACTCATTTTTCGTTGCACTCGGTACCTAGCGCAGTCGTCACCTTATTGACTATGAGGTCAGTAGCACGCGTGGGCAGTGTGATGGAACACAGATAGACAGCACACACAGACACGGACCGAGCACAAACAAAGGCAGTTGAGCCAACCGTAGAAACAGCAATACTGGCACAACAGAAGAGTTTGAACGACGTGCTGACCTCAATCCAGTGTCTGTTGTTCGCGGAAGCCGGTAGCCCAACTGAGCACGTAGCTCAGAATGGGTACGATCGTTGCGCAATTTTGTGCTGAATCCACCTTGGCAAGAGCACTATCATCGGGGAATCTGGTGTCCTATGGGATCGGCTCTGCACATAAATAGGGATACACAGTGGGAATTCATCCCACTAGCAATGGCTGGTTGTGCGTTCGGCTGAGGACAACTTCGTTAGCATGAAAAGCACTAAATGTGGCATAGCTTAGTCATCTTGTAGCCTACCGTGTAAAAATGTCTTCCTCAAAGGGCGGCCGTATGAATAGGACATTAGATTAGCCGATCCTCTCAGTCAGCGATGCTTTACGGTAAACCTCCAAGTGAAGCCGTTTGCTATCAGCGTGTTGGCAAGAATCAGCTAAGGTATGTCGGTCAGGCACTCGGTCGAAATTATTCGCTCAACAAGACTAATGAATCTTCACAAGCATCCGCTTGTATCACATTAGAAAGAAGCTGGTGAAATGCAGGCACTGTTACTCTGTAGACGCTGTTTTACCGAATTCACGGCAAGTAAAAAACCAAACGATTATCCGTACAGCGGTGGAATCAGATAGTGGGAGTAATGGGGAATATGAACGGCATAAGTAGAAGTTCATCACATGTAGACTCGGTCAGACAGCCACCACACGTCCGAAAAGTATTGTACGCCTGTTTCATATTTGGGGAGTCGCCAGTAGTGCGTATTTCATTTGGCCCCTGTGGGAATAGCTAGAATCCACAACCCGACTGCTACGAGTACTCGGTGGAGACCGATTGGTTACAGGGAATGGCAACAACCGACGTGACGAAGTGATATAGCGAAAGGATGAGACGACTTTACAGTGGTTTTTCGGGCGTGCGATGGCTGTCTAACAGTCAATATATGGTGAAATTCTACTTAAATCAGATAGTATGAGGTCTTTTGATCGGCTAATGCCTAAGCCAACAATCTGAGGATATAGTGTTTCTGAAATGAAATCAGACTTTCTCAATGCAACGATGTGTTTAACAACTTAATTGATAGTGACTAGGACCCATAGCTTTCCTTTAATTGGCAAAAAACAATCAGAAGTCTGGTTAAGCGAATTGTTGAGAAACAATGATTCCCCCATCAGAAGACCACATGACTTCATCTGACAAACCGTTCTCGTCCAGGTTATCGATAAATTTAAGCGAATCTCTGGGGCTATGTAGATTGATCCGCTGTCTCAGCGGAAAGAGACCCTTCATCAACCAGTGAAGTCAGTTTATGCTGGGAAGTGTTTACCACCGAGAGTGCCTGAGCAGCAATCCGCTAGCATGCATTCCTGGAGCCCATAAAGCTGTGGTGTAGGAGATTTACTCGGCAATCAAATTATCAGAAGATGAATTCATTAAAGCTAGACTCAAGGATTAGGCTATCACATAACCACACAGCCATTCTATCCCTCCAGGAATTGCTGGCAGTGGGTACTTCATCAGTGGCTAGAACCCGCGATTCTATTTTTAGGAGTATGTGGTTAAGACCACTGGGCCGCGGAGAATGGCAACGATCTATACGACAAAGTTAATAGCGCATGAATCATTTATAAAGGACTTGCACGTTACTGCCGTGCAGAGGACAAGGAAGCTCTCCTACATGAGCAACGAGTTCCCAAACTAACGGAGTCTAGGTGAGATGAAGTCGACTTATACCTATCAAATCTATGTGTAATTCTCTCGTTACAAGTATCACTGCCAAACACGTATTGATGTTGGAGTAGTTGTAGATGATAAAATATGGGAGATTTGAACACGGTCCAGAAAGCCGTACCGTGAAGATAGACCCTAAGGATCTCGCTAATGAAACAGATAGATGGTTCGAAAAGCTTACGCCACATCAACTGCGTATGCAAAGAAACTGTGGAAGCACGTGAAAGTGGCTGACAGAGAGTGCGCAATCGTTCACCAGGCACAGTTGGCTCGGGTTATGTACGCAACAGGGGCGTTACCTTTATACCACACGTGATGAATATTAAGGAAGCCGAACAGTCGCAATACGAAAAGCGTTAGGATGAACATAAAGAGTGTAAAAAGTGACATGCATAGATGCATCGCTAACGCATAAATGCGATTAAAGCTCGGTCTTGGTCGAAGGTGGAGATCACTAAAACGCCGAGCCGTCTGCACCATGAAAGCCACTCAGTCACGATGTACGAAGAAGTCAGTATGAGTGAAAGAGGAACAACGGTGCTGTTGCGGAACAACTAGAAACGATAGCTTATCGAAAATCAACGCATACAGACCAGATCCACAATTGCGGCAGCAATCATCCGGCAGTCCACAAAAGCAGCTGAGTACGAACCCTTTAGTAACGAGCACAAACATACCGTAGTACACTGCAATTTGGACGGGCGGAGGAAGACCATCTCTTCAGATTGCTCAAGCGGAACTCGTAAGCGAAAGGATTCAATCTACCCTGCCTGGCACAACAGACTTCAACAAATGCAACCCTTGAAAAAAGAGTCTCGTTGACTTATGTCGAAGTAATCGCTGAAATAGCAACAAGAGCTGTATTACACTTCGAATCGAATTTGCAAACCAACCAACGGAGGCAATTCGTGGTAAACGCTTCAAAGTGAAAGATAAAGTTAGCAAGGAGTAAACAGCTGATGTGATATATAAGATCTGTTACTACGTGTGACAGACTAGAATAAAGCTCAGCACAAGGCTATACGAACACGGCCTACCCATTCATCGCCACAATCAGAGCTCCCTGATGTCCGCGCGTATTGATGCCGAGAACCACCAATTAAACCTGGAGCAGGCCAACATGCTCGTTAGCGCCAAATGTCAGCAGCCATGTGAGTTCATCGAAGTTTAGCATTCAAAGTATAACGCTACCAATAAGCACTTGGACCTCGAAGTCGCTTACGAGACACTTTGAAGCAAGTTTCTGAAGCCGCAATGACGAGGTCGCTTAGTCTGAAAAGCAATCATTCAGCCCAGAGACCAACTCAAAATACACATTCACACCCAGAGCTACGGATGTTCTCAGCTACTCACATGCCTGTGAGTATTTATGTTTTGACACACGAAGGGAATAAAAACAGGTTGTCGGATTTAGAGCACCTGAAGGGTAGATCTGATATTGATTGTCGGGTTTTAGTATACCCGCCGTGGGTCTAAGATTGCGTATCGCAATCAACCAATTTTACACGGTAACATTCTCAAAACCTCTAGGTTATTAAGCTGGCGAGGTAGCGAGCACTGTATGCTCTAACTCTTCCGGTGGTCGAGTGCAACGGCATCTAGCTCATAATCCGCAGGTCGCCGGTCCGAAGCCATGTAGATGCGGGCGAATTGGCAGTATCCCCGAGCTGCGCACACACAACTAATAATTATTGCGTAGCAATGAAGCGTAGGTTGATGAAACGGAATATTGTCTGTCCCATGCCAAAACAACAGTCAGTCAACCGATGATTCTACCGTCGCGTGGTGCTGTCCTGGTACGAAGAAGATGCATTCACGAGCTTTGTAATGTGCATTACTCTGCTTAATGGAATTACCTAAAACTAATGTTTCTCCCAGACAGTGTCGAAACACTGGGTAATACAGACAGGGGCTTCGTAGGTCGTGCTTGTTTTAGTCCAGTTCCGTAGCCACAGCAACCGTGAGGGAATCAAAATTGTTAGGTATATACGACCAGAAGGTGGCACGAACCAACTGCCGTGAGTAAAACGCTGATGTATGTCAGCGTATGGGAGCTGGCAGAGTGAGGATGGCGACACTGTCGGCTATAAGGCGGAAGACAACATATGCAGTATGTTCTCTAGCAATTAGTACCCTTCATCGATGTGTTTCAGTAAGGTAGAGGTATGCAAACGCTACTTCGTAACTCTATGGTGTTCAAGCCGTAAAGCGATAACTGACGGCAAGAAAACTCAGAACTGAGAGTGGAGCCAGCAAAGTGCTCCAATAGGCAAAGCAGAGATGAACATCGCCTTATTGGCGACAATAAATAAATAAATAAACTTAAAAAGTGGAGAAATTAAACGTTAACCTACTTCACATTGGTACCGCCGCCGGCAGCGTGATTCTTATTCAGGCCACGATGATCTACCAGCATTGTGGGAAGGTCCGAGAATTGGTGAACTTCGTAGAGTAAAGTGAAGTCTGGTAGGCTGTATATCTAAACAACAGAAAAACGGTATAGAACACACAATACACAGTAAAACCTCTGTAAATTGATCACGCAATGGACTGGGCAAAAGTGGCAAACATAAAGAGGTGGTCAACATATGGGAATCCTAGATAAAAGCTTTGGATACTTTAGTTTCCCATATTAATAGTGGAGTATAAAATTATTTTCGCTTACATCCTGTTGCAAATACATCCAATGAGCTATTACATAATGGCAAACATTGCTAAGTCATACACTATTAGCATAGAGTAAAATGTAATGTGGCTTCACCAAATTTAAGTCATGTTATTGAAAAAGGTCATTGTGTCTGCTTCATTAGATTACCATAAACCTAACTGAACAAGATAGTTTAGAAATGCTCAGGCAAACACTGAAACTCCTGATAGCGACATATGCAATAAGTGGGTACATCTTCCAAAGGGTAGACATGATGCGTTCCTGTGTACGTAGATCAGTGAGGAAAGGGTTCGCACAAAAAAGGTGTAGGTCAATATGCGGATGTGGATCTGTACGAGATAAATACCGATACGTGTAAACACTGAGGGGCTGAACGAAAGTGCACGCGCACATACAGAAAACACGCCGAACCGTCAAATGTCTGCGGGGCCGTAAAGTGTAGTGATTGTGGGTCAGGAGAATTTCCAATAGTGCAAAGTACCATAAAATACACGTTATTATTTGAACCAACGAGTAGTTCGGTTATAAGTAAGTAGTAGGGGGATTCATTGGGGGTATGGCAGTGGAGGATGAGCCGCGCTATTTCACAGTTAGATATCAGTCATGGCGGTCCGCTGCAGTCGCCCATGGTTCAGTGGCATAAGTCGTTGACTCGCAAGAGTAAGGTCGTGGGTTCGAATCTGGCAGGATTCGGTGGGTGCGCGCTACTGACGAGTTCCAATAAGACGAAACGACCGTCTAGCGCTTTCCTGGATGTGTGGTGGCTGTCTGCCTGATTCCAACTGCGACGAATCTGCACATAAACGCAATAAATCTACCTACAGCTTACAAATGATCAGTGCGAAAGAGTAGTTCGGTGACCATTGTACAGAGGTTAAACTAGTAATAACCGTCATAGCCATAGTGGTCAATATAAAACCTAGATTGGTGGTCAATATAGTGAGGTCTGGTTCCATAAGGTTTACATGGGGAATGTATAAGCTGTGAAAAAACGGGTAACTTAAAGAAGTAGTCAACTTCGGAGGTTTTACCGTATATACGCAGTAAGAGGTAGGAATAGGCGTCCAGAAGACAAACACGCGAGATGACGACGAACTACCGAGAAGGAAACCCAATTAGGGTATAAATAGTGACTCACCTCCAAAACTCCGTTGGTGAAGAGAATGAAGGCAAAATATCGTGACTTAGCAGAGGCCAATCTGAAAATAAACAGTATATTAATGATTAATTGTGTGAAGTCGCGTCCAGTTTGGTAATCAGTGGAAAGTATGGAAAATAACGCGAAGGAGAGGAGAGAAAATAAGATTAGAAAAAGCGTGACAGTCACATTCGACAAATATGAGGTACAGAGAGTTCAGTTAGATTTCTGTCAACTTTGACCCATGTACGAAGGTGTAGTGGACCCAGTTGCCCTGACACACGTCATAAACATAATAGCGACAATAAATATACTAACAAGAGAAATGAAAAAGGATTTCAGCAACGGATGGAGTAGTAGTCAATGGGCTTCAATGAGGGAACGTATGCAACTAACAGATCAACCGAGTTGAATGGAGCCTAGAGAGCAACAAACTGATTGACTAGCAACGAAATCGATCATGACAAGGCGCCAAAGCGAGAAAAATGGGGTAAATGGAGTGGGGTGAAAAGAAGTGAGCTAACTTACTCCCATTCAGTATCAGGTTCATCCGACTCCATTGTATCCGTATGCAGTGGAGGCAACTCTGGCAATTCACGCTTACACAATTCGATGAGTTCACCGTATAAAATCAGATCTTCCTCATCGGATGTGGAGAGGTGGGGGAACGTATTACTACGGAAGCAATAAAGAGTGATAGATTGAAAATAGTGAAGAAGGCGGAAGAGTCCAATCACACTGAGAAATTTAGGAAATTTTGAAGCAATTTCAAATGGGCGAACGTGATGTGAACGCACACTTCGTCGGAGGCGATTACAAGAACATTGAGCGGCTTTGACTACAAATCGTAGGTGAGAGAGTGAATAGGTGAGCTGCATCTTCCCCGCCGTAAACAGGGCTCGAACGAATGACGGTGCGTGTGTGTGTGCGTGATGCTTGTATGTACCCCATCAAAAAGAAAACCGCACGAAGTAGAGGCCAGTGGGGATTCAAATTCGCTTTGGTTAGTCGATTGGCACACGTCTATCGTCTTGCACCTAGCTCGCTCAGTAACGGATAACATGAGAGGACGACTGGCTTTTTAACATGCGAAAACATGAGTGTTCGAATTCGGGTGTTGTATTTTGTCTCCATTAAACAAGTTAAATGGGGTAAACTGCCAAGTTATTCAGATAGGGATAGTTATAGGTCGAGAGTAGAGCAGCTGATTCCGTAGCTGCTGAGTCAACGTCCTAATAATAGGGTCAACAGCTCACTTGTGCAAAACCTTTAACAATAAGTGGGGGCTGTAAGAATACATGCAAAGTTAAAATTTACTGCCCGCAGTTGCGTGGATGGGAAAGGAAATCACAAACTCAGAGATTGCGTTTTTCAATCCAAACATACGGTGGACATTCCAAACCCAACTTGGAATTTCTAACCGCTGTGACAAGTGTTGCTCATGGATCTCAGAGGTCTAGTGATCAAGTCGATAACCATGGTAATTATTAGACTCCGAGAATCAATCGCAGCTCAGGCTATCTCGATCTGATGAGCCCAAAGGAGGACGAAACAGGTCATGGGGTGTCAGTGTTGGGACGAGCAACACCGGAACCCTTTAAACTCTCAGAGGGGTATATAGGATTAAGCAATCCGCGTATTCCAACGTAAAACGCGGTGCAAACTATTGCTGATCACACGCCGAAATAAATAGTCGGAATACTAGCTAGTAACAATGGTGGGGCGGCCAGGTGATCAATGGGAAACTGAACAGCAGAACAATACTAATTAACTGAGTTCATGTCTCAGCTGAATGATAAACTAGAAGACACTGGGTTGACTACTGGTCATTTGATAACAGGCACCTCAGGACGCTAGGCATTGACAATACGAAGCACTTGCCAAAGTGATATAGAAGTTAACTTCATATATATATAAGGACAAATGTATTGTAGCACACTCAAATGCCCCTTCGACTAGGTGGAGTTGGTTACTATGGAATTTAGATTAATCGGTATAGCGATCAGTGCAAAAAGGAACTCCAAGTGACGTATGCATGAGGAAGAAGACGTACAGAGGGTAATGATGAATGATAATATAAGTTCTGGCGAACTAAGTAGCCGAAAATGGCTATGGTGAGCTAATCACAGGGAGAGGAGAAGAGCTGATCGTGAAGCTCCAAAGCAGTCGACGCAAAACATGCCACTTTCAACCATGCAATGGTGGCAAAAACGAAAATGACATGGTTAGAAGGTCAAGAGGTGAGAACAGAGACATACAACAGGAGACCGAACTTTAGCACTTCTGTAAGCAGAAAATATGCCATCGAGAAGTGCCAAAACGCACTGTCAAGTGCGTTCACGCATATTCACACGAGAAACGAAGCAAACTCTTGTGAAAACCATCACGATGCATTACCAATGTGTAAACATTGCGAAACACACAGTTATGTGAATATAAGGAATTCAGGCGGAGCGATAAACTGTTCGCAAAGCTGTTATGACAATTTGTCCGGTAGACACCTCTAGTTTCAATGGCAAAAACGGTGGTTTCGTAACAAATTGAGAACAAAGAGAGTAAACAGTGTGACTGCGTAGTACAGATGGCGTAAACACATCCATGCTTCAAAGTGAAACAAAACACGCACAATGACGTGGTACTAAATTTTTGCGTTTAAAGGTTGTCAATAGTACCTCGCTCTCATGTGGTGCCATTGTAAATACATACATAATGAGCAGGTCCAAGAAATGTACATGTATAGCGTGCATGCAGTTTCTAATATGCCCTATAGAGTAAGTGTAGGGGAGATGTAAGGTTGACTGATTGTCGATAGGCAACCGCGGACGGACGAACCGGTGCTCTCCGATGAGAAACGACAAGGATTACCATAGATATCAAAGGCTCGCAAGTAGTGAACAGGTGAATGACGCTAGGCGGCTGTAAGGACATGAGCAGATAGATAGCGAGAGAACGATGAACACAAGCACAACGATGGCGAAGGCGCGGTTAATCAAAATTAGACAGATCGAGGTGAGTGTGAGCGGTGTTACGCTTCACTGGTTGGCAGCCGCAAATCAACATCAGCAGATGAGTCGCAGTAGGCCAGCCGACAACACAGAGGCGGAAAGTTGCGCAGTTCACGCGTGTCACAGCGATGAGAAAAGCACTCCGTAAAGGCAGACCATGTGCGTCACGGATGACAACACACCGGCAGTTTAGAATAACATAATGTTGTTGTGCCAGAAGAATTAGTGATCAAACAGCTTGAGTCAATAAGGATGGGAGGAACAGCTATAACCCAAAGCTCAAAGGTGACACATTCATGTTATGGAGACGGCTGGACAGTGAGATATCAATCATTCCACGCTCGTTTTAACTTCACAAGTTAGCTAAGTGGCAACTTGTGGGTAAAGCGGCCAGCTTCGCCAATGGAGTTGAGCGCACATGCGGGGAGAAGTACGCGAAAGATGAAAGCACACCTACGCGCACAAAAAACTGCATCCGATGGCGTCGGTGTGTGTGTTACACACTGTTTGGTGAAGAGATCAATCGGTCAAAGCTAGATGCAGTGGTATCACGATCACGGAGTGAATCGTGGATGTTAGCATGTAGGAACTCGCGATAGCGACGATCAAAGAAAAAGGCGATGGGTGTACACGAAACAGGGGCACAGTTGTGAGAGGATTCGGCTTGAAGTTTGGATTGAGGGCAAAAGTTGCAAAAGCAAGGTGTAGCAATTCGTGACATCGACCGTGGGTGTGTGCAGGGAATAGTACACAGGACAAGGCTAAATTGATTTGCGATCGGTCGACATTAGCTACGTATAAGAAAAGGAGACCATAAAAGAAAACTCAGGATGCGCATAGGATAAGAGTGAATTGAAAATGTCTGGAATTCTCGGAGTAGAGACTATAATGGACGAAAAAAGAGCTATATGAGGTGTTTATCATCAGTAGCTTGTGAGGCGACAGCAACACTACATAGAGCTGCACAAGTTGGTGATAAAAGAGTTCTGAAAAGCAAAGGAGGTGTGCCCCAATCGACTCGTTTACCATCACTTTTCTTTGAATACCGAAGTACGGAGGATATGACTGCCGCAACTTTTAGCAACGTCAAGGAAAACGGCGTGGTACACAAGAAAAAGGCGGCTAAGAGAAAGTGTATAGAATTTACCTGAGTGGATTATTAACAGTTAAAGGCAGGAAATTGAATAATGCGGGAATACCACTAGATGCGCGAATGCACTATGTTTGATAAGCTCACCAAGCACTAGTGCGGACCATCCCAGAGCCCTATATCCATGAAGATGGCACGCGCCAACCTGACCGGTCAATTTCTTCATGCGTTTATGCCACGTCAGCAGTTGGCCACATGGGCATGCATCCAGCTAAGTGCAGCGATGGTCTATGGAGCACACCGATGAGGGTAATGAACGGGCATACGAAGTACTCATCCACTTTACAAGCGCTCTGCAAAGGGTAGACTGGGAATATGAATTAACCAAATTAAGGTATTTTTACCACAAACTATCTGAAGGATCCCGATGTTACTATCCCGGTACTCTAAATTATAATTCGTAATCATCGGTGATAAAGGTTTTCTGCTCGAACTGGTCAAGTCGCTAATCCAAACGGTAACACTTGTCTTATGGCAGCGTTAGATGGTCTACCTTTGACAGGATAATATCCTACAATATGCATAAACACTTGGGAATTTGAAAAGCAACACGAAATATACACTGAAGCGTGCAGCGTTACGCGTCAATTTATTTGATAGCGTCCTCATAGCCGCTGAGTTCAAACCAGGGGGAGATACGTAGTCCGTATTAGCCACTTTCGTGGGGAAAGTGGATATTTGTTGGAGAGAATCAACCCTGAGCCTTTAACTCAAAGTTCTGATCCACAGAGCAGTGGAAAGCACGTCCAACTCACTTGGTTTTCCTTTGGGTTCGTCACACGTATTAAAAAAGTAATAAAGTAATCGTCAACTGTACGCCGTAACGGCGCTTCGCTACCGCGCGACCATCATCAGTCGTGCTTGGGCTGTGTATACTGCGAGGACACCCGCCCCTACGCGGATTCGATCCGGTGAATTAATGATTGCAAGTCAGGCGTGTAGACCACTAGGCCAACGGCCGAGAGATCAAAGCTGTGGCGAAGGCGGTGCAATCCGCCTGTTAACATGGATTAGAAGTTGTCGGGAGCCAGGAATGGAGTGGTGGTAGTGGACAAAACACTTGCATTAAGCGCAGCCGGACCTTGTGTAACAGTCCTGAACAAACGTCAAGTACGGGTCAAGCATACAAAATGTTTCAGATGAAAATGATGAGAAACAACACATGCCCCGTCGGCCTGTGATGGAAGGGTAGGATCTAGATGAGCAAATCGGCCCAGACAGCTCATTAGAGGCAAACCAAACGGTTTGTTTCATTGGGCATACCAAGCATAGTCATCCATCTACGCGCTTCGCTGATTGCTTGACACGGCGAATAGTCCAAGACCAAATAAGGAACTTCTAACTGACATGTCAACCGCTGCACGCGGAGCTCTGGCCCAGTAACCAAAGCGAAAGCCGTCCACAACTAAGAGTCAGGTTGCATTCTCAGCTCGGGCTATCTCTACCTGACCAGTCCAAATCAGGACAAGACCGGTCGGTTGTGGAGTGCAATGTTGGGAGAAAGGGCAGTTTTGTACGCG